CTATCTATCTATCTATCTATCTATCTATCTATCTATCTATCTATCTAATATCTTTCTATCTATCTGTCTCTATCATCTATTTATCTATCTATATCTATCTATCCATCTCTCTATCTCTATATTGATAGAGAGAGAGAGATGATAGATAGATAGATAGATAGAGAGAGAGAGAGATAGAGAGATAGAGAGATAGATAGAGAGATAGATAGCAAATGAATTTATTCCTATGGGTGTTTTTAGCTAAAAAATAGCTGAAGGGGCCAGAACTGGCAAAAATAACCCCATTGTAAATTGTGGTCATGTGATTGCAGCATGCTGCAACCGGCCATAAAATTGAATCACTTTGCAAGGCACCCAAAATGCAGTTACGTATGGGGGTTCAACCACTGGAACTCCAGAACCAGTTTGCTTGGGTGATAGGTGTCATAACTTCAAATAATCACTAAACCAGTTGTTAAACGAGGAAGACCTGGGAATGCATAGATGATTACGAAGTGAGCTCGTTTGGAAGTGATCCCCAAAATAGCGTGCTGTATTTCCCCAGGTTTTTGTAAGGTGAAACCATATTTGCAAAGTTGTAACATCCAAGAATTCAAAAGCATCTCCAAGGGATTCCTAACAGATTTTACATGGAAGAAAAGTTAATCAACTGATTAACCGGCATGTACTGGTATCCAACGTCAGGGAAATATCGGGCCAAATTAATACAAGGTGAAAGATCTTACTTGCAGCTGGGATCCTTTTCCAATTTGGCTGCAGTAAGTTAGATTTGCATGGAGACATTTGAACGTTTCTCCAGCGGCCCCAGCAAGGCCAGGTTGTGAGTCACACCAGGCTCCGATTGTACCTGCTCACAAGGAGCCAATTAGACGAACACAATAGCTCATATGCTACTGAGCTGCATAAATTATGGAGATACGTTATTAGGAAATATCACACCTTATTCGGCTAAGACTTAAGAAGTACCAGGGAATACTATATTATATATGCTCAATCTGTTGCTTTTTCACTACTCGGGGAAAAAAAAAATAGGGTAGTGATCTTTTATACCAAAGCAATTGTGTAAATTCAGCTCTCTAAATCTGTGTTGCTGGAAAATGTGTGGACTTCAACTCCCAGAATTCCCCAGCCAGCAAAGAATTCTGGGAGTTGAAGTCCACGCATCATCCAGCTGTAACATCCAGAACAACATCTCTAAATAATTGCACCTGTCCCTTTGCTGGATTTTAAGTGCTGGCTAATTAATATCAGCTACCTAGCAATCGGTCTCATTCATTTCCTGCTTCAGCAGGAGACGCAAACTGCAGAGTGCCATACATTGGTTCTTTGCATATTGATTTTGAGTCTGGCTAATCTAAAGAAAAGAAGAATTACGGGTGAGCAGTATTTCAGTATTTGAGAGGCTGCCACAAAGAAGAGGGGGTCAAGTTATTCTTCAAAAAGCACCAGAGGGCAGGATAAGAAGCAATGGGTGAAAACTAATCAAAGAGAGAAGCAATCTGGAATTAAGGAGAAACTATCATGAAAACAATTAACCAGTGGAAAAGCTTGCCACCAGAAGTTGTGGCTGTTCCATCACTGGAGGTTTTTAAGAAGAGATTAGATAGTCACTTGTCTGAGATTGTATAGCTTCTCCTGTTTGAGCACAGGGCTGGACTAGAAGACCTCCAAGGTCCCTTCCAGCTCTATTCTAAGTTAATTCTAAGATTGTCCTGCCATATGGTATGTCCTGTTTTACAGAGTATTATATAGATAATCAACTCCATGGCCAGTGTGTTTATATGTGACCATCTATTACAACTCTTAAATCCTTTGTGGATGTTGCCCAGAGATTTCCTGGTCAAGTTTTAGTTGCTATCGATATCACACATGGAGAACAACCTTGGCTTCATCCGACTTGGGTCTCTTTTCTTTTTCGATGTCTCTTTCTGTATGTAGGTTTTGATGCCGTGGCGAGCATTGGTGGTGATGGCAAAGCTTCCACTCAAGGTATCTTAAACCCTATTTTGTCCTTAGCCTTCTTGACTTAGCAATCAGGTGCTGTTTTTCTTAGTACAGTCCCATCAAGCCACCTGCAAAAATGCAGGTGCGGGCCCTATTATTAGTCGGGTGATCAGTAAAGGAAAAGGTAAAAGGTTCCCCTCACACATATGTGCCGGTCATTTCTGGCTCTAGGGCAGTGGTCCCCAACCTTTTGGGCACCAGGGACCAGTTCTATGGAGAGAGGTTGTTCTGCAGACCAGAGGGGATGTGTTGCCTGCATATCACAGATGGGGCTTGGTTTGTTTGCCTGGCATGGTTTCTGGGATGCTGCAACCTGGTACCAATCCGATTGGGGACTCCTAATCTAGAGGATCCCTTCAGGGAGATAGTAAAAAAAAAATGTAAGGCTTTTTTTTTAAATGTCACATGAATCAGACAAAAGAAGTTGAGAACATGGAAACTCCCCAAGACCCATCAAGACTTGAAAATCAACAAGGCAAAAGTAGCTGGCAGTCTTGACAACCAACAAAGCAAATACTTTTGGGAGAATGAAGGGGATCCTAAGCCCATCCACTTTTTGAGTTTTGTGCTTGGATCCAGACTTGTCAGCTTGCCAGCCTAGCTGAGAAGAACTCGGGGTGTGTGTGCGCGCATGAGACAGATGGAGAGGGAGAGAGGGTGACAGAGGGAGAGAATTATTATTTTACGTTCACTGGGTCTCCCTGTACTCCAGGGGACAGTGTTCATCTCTGTTACAAAGCCGAAGAGCCAGCGCTGTCTGAAGACATCTCCACGGTCATGTGGCTGGCATGACTAAACACCAAAGGTGCATGGAATTCTGTTCCCTTCCCACCAAAGGGGTCCCTATTTTTCTACTTGCATTTTTTACATGCTTTCGAACTGCTAGGTTGGCAGAAGCTGGGACAAGTAGCGGGAGCTCACTCCCTTACGCAGTGCTAGGGATTCGAACCACCAAACTGCCAGCCTTTCCGATGGACAAGCTCAGCATCTTAGCCACTGAGCCACTGCATCCCTTCCCAAGTGATCAATACAGTATCCCTTAACTTGACAACTTTAAGACTTGTGGACTTCAACTCCCAGAATTCCCCAGCTAGCTATGCTGGCTGGAGAATTCTGGGAGTTGAAGTCCACAAGTCTTAAAGTTGCCACGTTTGGAGACCTCTGCCTTAACGGAATAACAGAATTGGAAGGGAACTTGGAGGAACGTAGCTTAAGAAGTGTAGACCAAAATTGAACATGCTGCTTTTTTTAATTCTTAATTTTGCACATGTATTTTGCCTGAATGCAAATTACATCAGCCTGAAGCTTTGCAAGAATGAATTTTATCTCTTCCCATCACTGCTGTTATCCTGGGATGAGTTTTACAAGATACGTGCAGCAGATAAAAAAGAGGATTTGAGCTGGGCTTGCAAAACACATTTAACTTGGTTCATGAGTTTGCATCTCATGCCGAATCAGCGTATCCCAAGCTTTCTGAGTGAACTAAATTGTACAACCTGCTAAGTCACACCTAAAAGAACAGTTGCACAAAGGCAGATTTTGGATCTTGAACTTATCAGGCCGAGCACAGTTAAACCTCAGATCGATTCAGAATACAGGGTAATAGAGTTGGAAGGGACCTTGGAGGTCTTCTAGTCCAACCCCCAGCTTAATCAGGGCACCCTATACCATTTCAGACAAATGGCTGTCCAGTCTTTTCTTTAAAACCTTCTATGTTGGAGCACCCACAGCTTCTGGAGGCGTGTCATTCCATTGATTAATTTGTAGGAAATTTCTCCTTATACATACCAGTAGTTCTCCCTCAGCCAATCCTTGAGTATTGAAGATTTGTGCTGAAATGCATACAAACTCCAGCTCCTTTGTAGTGCAATGATGGTTTATTTACTAGATCAGCAAACAACAAACTCCTTATCTGACAAGAAAGGCTAAAAGCCAGGCAAGGTTAGTGTTGGGTTTAAGTTTGCTCCCTTTCCTTTTATTACCATTATCATGAGACATGCCCAACCACACCCCGCCACACCCAGGCCAATACGCAGTTCTCGTTCTGGCCACGCCTAACCTATTATCCCTAAATGCTATTAACCCTATGACATGTCTATATCCCTAACCTATTCCAACCCTCACTAACTGATCCCCACCTGGTGCCACCTTCACCATGTTTTAACCTAAGGATGAATTGCCCCCTATATGTGCCCCAATCTCCTCTAACAATATGCATCACATCAATACATGAAAAGAGCCATTTCCAGCAGCCCCGCAGTTGCTTCAGAATCCATCCTGCGTCCCTGCAGTTGCTCCAGAATCCATCCTGCAGCGACTCTCAACACCAACAGCCAGGCGAAATAAAGATCCGGCAGCAGCAGCAGAAATAAGGCGACATTCTCCATGGCCAGATGACTTGCTGTGAGGCGAGTTTGGAGCTGACGGGCTCTGTAGTGAACTCAGAGCCTGACATCCACGATTTACACCCATTCATTTAGTGACCAAAGTTAACAACCGAACAGAAAAAAGTAACTTATGACCAACATTCACACTTATGATTGTTGCAGCATCCTCAATCGTCAGGTGAGCAAAATATAGGCTGCGGTGATTCGCTTACCATCCGTGGCAAGGAAGATCGTAAAATGGAGCACATCTCACTGAACAACTTGCTTAGCAATGAATATTTTGCGCCTTGCTTAGCAATGGACATTTTGGGTTCAATTGTCATGAGTTGAAGACTACCTGTATGGGTTTCAGCTTTCTCTTTAAAATGTTTAGCTATCGGCTTGTTACACCAAAAGCAGGCAGGGAATAATTCTCGTGCGTTTCTCTTCACAGGTCCAAGTTAGCTTCAGCTTCCTAGCTGTACAGTTGATCAAACTGAGAGAAGCTAAAAAGGTAACTTGAAGTTGGGGAATGAACTGCGCAATCTGCTTCCTCCTAAAAAAATAGAGCAATAGCCATAACACTTAGACTTATATACTGCTTCACAGTGCTTTTATAGCCCTCTCTAAGCCATTTAAGGGGCGTGCATAAGTGCACCATCATGCCTACTGTCCCTGTCCTATTGTCCCCATTTATTTGTACCTATTTCCTGTATTCTTACTCATGTTTATATTTTACTTATTATCTTGTAAGCCAGTGGTCTCCAACCACCGGGCCCTGGACCAGGACTGGTCTGTGGATCATTTTCTACTGGGCCACCGGTTTGCTGGGTGCCGCCATCTTGTTTCAACGAGAAAGTACTTCCGGGTGAGCTTTTCCGGTTGGAAAGCGGCGTTTGGATCCTGAAGGAATCCTCGCGCCTTAGTTTCATCGAAGGGGGGGGCAGCTTCGAACAAAGAGCCGTCCCGATGGCGGAGGAGATTAAGAAAGCACAAAAAAGCACAAAAAGGGTACAAAGGAGGAGTTGAAGGTGGCGGGGAGAAGCGGGGACAGTTAGCTGGCCAGTCGCTTGGCTCGCCTTGCCTTGGTCATGCGTGCTGATGCCGGTACCAGGCCGTGGATCATTTTGTGATGCCGGTACCGGACCGTGGCACAAAAAAGGCTGGGGGCCACTGTTGTAAGCGATTGACAAATCTAATAAACAAATAAATTTACAGAGTCAGCCTCTTGCCCCCAACAATCTGGGTCCTCATTTTACCCACCTCGGAAGGATGGAAGGATGAGTCAACTTTGAGCCTGGTGGGATTTGAACTGCCAAAGTGCAGGCAGCTGGCAGGCAGCAGAAGTAGCCTGCAGTACCGCACTCTAACCATTGCGCCACTGTGGCTCGTATGCTTTTCTCCCACACCTGTCGGTTGAGTTTTATGGTATTTTCTTGGAGAAACCCTTTCTTTCCCATAGCAAATGTTCCAAAGAAACTTTCATAAGAATTTGCGTATCATCAGGCCTCAAATCTGTGCTTGCAATGGTACCAGATTTATTTCTTTATTTTTTAAAATTGCAGCCTTCTCCTTGGCAGCTCCCGATGCCTTCGGTGTCATTCGCTCGCCTTTGGTTTCTTTTTGAGCACCCATGACACACAGACATTTAGGGGATCTTTTCATGACACTGGAGATGAAGGAAATGGAAGCATTGGTCTAACTGTGGAGTGCAGCCAAAGGCACAGGAGACAGGATGCCCAGACCTGTTGAGAGCCCTGACATTCAACAGTCAATCTAATCTCATTGAAATTGCAAATGTCCAGCCGCAAAAGGGCAGGAGTTCCTTCGAGGATAAAATTATATTCCTCCTCCTCATTAAGAAATCAAGCAAAGGAACACGGCGTTTCCTTACAATCAATCTAGGTGACAGTCGACTTAGCTTAAGATTGTTAGCAGCAATGGCTGAAATCGCCTGGTGTTTGGGAGACAGCTGTTTCCAGCCTGCCCTGAAACTGTAGGACAGCGTTTCTCAACTTTAACGACGTGTTTCGACTTCAATTCCCCATGCGGTCTGGAGAGTGTCGGAATGGTCATCATTAAACAAACCCAGTTTGCCCCATTGACTTTGCTTGTGGGAACCTGGCTGGGAAGGTCGCAAATGGTGATCACATGACAACCAGTGTGGTGACAACCACAGCCGTGAGGGTGCAGTGGTTAGAATGCAGTACTGCAGGCTACTTCTGCTGACTGCTGGCTATCGGCACTTTGGCAGTTTGAATCTCGCCAGGCTCAAGGTTGACTCAGGCTTCCATCCTTCTGAAGTGGGTAAAATGAGGACCCAGATTGTTGGGGGCAAGAGGCTGGCTCTGTAAACAGCTTAGAGAGGGCTGTAAAGCATTGTGAAGCGGTATCGAAGTCTAAGTGCTATTGTTATTGCTATCATCAATACATATTGGTTGCTAAGCAGCTGGATTTTGATTATGTGACTGTGTGACGATGCTGCAGCAGTTGCAAATAGGAAGGCCAATCATGTCACAATTTTCAGTGGTGTTGTGACTTTGAACAGTCATTAAAACAAATGGTTGTAAGTCGAGAACTACTTCTCATGTTTCTTCCTCTTCCATCTTGTCCAGGTTGTCATAGAAACGGATACTTCTTCCTTCGAGCTTGACTTCCTGTCATCAGACGATCTGGAACATGCGGTCAGCCACATGATCACATCACTCAAAAAGGTTTTTCCAGGATCCTCACCTGGGTAAGGAGTTTGTCAGGGATGATAAACCAGTAAAGCTGTCCCAAAGCTGCTTTTTCCAAAAGGCAACTGGACTTCCTTGGTTTTTTTTTTTTCCTTCTTCAAAACTTCTTCAGAAGCTTCTTGGATGAGAAGTTCTTGCATGAAGAAGCTTCTTTGGTTCTGAAGAAGTGAAGAAGCTCCTTGGATGAGAAGCGAAATGTTTCCAAGGAAAAAAAAAACCAAGACAGCCCAGTTGCTCCTTTTGGGGGGACGGGGGGGGGACACCTTCGGGACAACCATGTCCCGGATGATTGAGAGTCTCCATGGACATTCAACCCCTGAAGATGAAATCTAGGCCTGACCATTGAATGAAGCATGACCATTAATACTCCGGCTTTCCAGATCTTGATGACTTAAGACATGCATCCTTCTGCACCTCAGCTGATGATAGCTAGAGTTCTCTCCTCTGTTTTAGAAACTTCTATTGAGAAGAGATGTTTGAGAAGTTGTGGCCAAGGCTAAGATTGAACAGGCTCCCTTTTTAATTATTCAACACAATATTTATATATTCTGATATCAAAGCCATTGTGAAGGAAGAGAAATATAAAAATAACACGCATTTAAAAAAGCAGTAGCTTCTCTCATCCAGCCAGCTCCCCTCTCAAAAGGAAGAAACTCCGAAATAAAATGGTATTTGGCATTTTTTCTCGAATAAAGTTATTTCTTTAATGCTAATTTAATCACCCTCTTGATATTAAAGAGATCTCCTCCAGAACGCCCCTCCCAGCTTGCTTGCGAGAATTCAAGGGACGACCGATTCCTTGGAAGAAGCATGGAAAGAAAGTCCTTGCGGTAATTCAACTCTATGGAAATTAATGGCGGGAAAATATTCCAAGGAATAGTTGATTCAAGGGGCAATTGGAGAACAGTTGATCTAAGTGCACGGTTAGCGGGGCGATAAAGCTACATCGTTTTCCCCTGAAAACGGGATAATGTTCTTGGATAACCCAAGAGCCTCCAAATAGTTGGGACTACGATTTCTTAATACTCCCCCCAAGGGAATTGTAACGGAGGAAAGTCAGCATCTAAATAACCTTGAAGGTAGCATGTACCCATCCCCTTGACTTAATGCGCAACTGTGTTGTTACTGTCTAATCTGAACTTCCGCACACTTTCTGAAGCAGAACTTTATGGTATGTGCCAAGATCTAAATCACTTTCGGTTTGGAAATATTACTAAGCTATTGTTTCCTTTCAATACTCTACTCTTTGGAAAGCATTTTAAGCAAAGATCTGCCTGCATTCACGTCAGAAGCACCTACAAAGCTAGCCTAAAGGTGCTTCTGGGTTGAAAGGATTTGCCAGTGACAATACCATTGCCTAGAGCAGGGGTCACCAACCTTTTGGACCTCAGGGACCACCAAATTCATAATTTTAAATCCCGCGGACCAGAGACCCTGGGAAAAAGTCTGCAGGAAAATTCCCCACAACTTTTTCCTACTGATCGATCATTCTTTATTTGGGATCACAGGATACCGTCTCCAGCTCTGTTCTCAGGGGAGGGGGGAGGGAGGGAGGGAAGGAGACAGACAGACAGACAGACAGACAGACAGACAGACTTTTGGCTTCATGCAAGGAAAGCAGCAGAAGTCTTTCTTTCTCTCTCCCCAACTCTGCCAGAAACGAGTCTTTGCCAACACAGCCTCTTGGAGCAGGATGGCTTGGAGGGTCCCAAAGACTCATTTCTGGAAGTTGAAGTCTTAAAGTTGCCAAGTTTGGTGACCTCTGATTAAGCATCTCTTCATGCTTACAGGTGGATTTTCTGAGACCTACGCTGCCCTCTGCGATTACAGTGGGCTTTCTATCCGAGAGGAAGTCCAATGGGTAAGGAAACAGATGGGTCATTTTTAGCTCAGCCACAAACATCAAAAGAAATTGGGGTTTGTAGAACCATTAGCTTTAGGGTGTTGACACAGAATTCAGGCAAGGACTGCTGTTGGTGAGACTAGAAATCCTACAAAGAGACATCTTATAGTGAATTTTTCCAAAAATGGAGCCTTTGGGAATGACGCTGCCTTTATAATAGGTTCATTGGTCAACCAGGAAGTTCCTTGAAAGATTCATTTGTCATATATAACTAGACAAAACTTCATGTTATATACTAATGTAATAAGTGTAAACGATTATTTTACATAATTTGAGAGATGTCAAATTGAGTGAACACTGTCTTGCTCACGTTGCGATAAGCGGACTGTTTAGTTCTATTGTATTTGTGAAAATATGTTTAATAAAGTATTTTTCTAATGGAAAAAAAAAAGAAAGAAAGATTCAGGAATAGAGGATTTGGGGATCAGCCTTCTGAAATTGCTGCTTCTGCCAAGATCAACTGCACACAGATTTTCTTTGAGGGAAGGGTGGAACGGATGCTGCCAATTGCTGTGCTAGACCCAATAAGAAACTAGCTCGAGAATGTGGGTGAAAAAAACTAAGCGCTGTGTTTTTATTTCCACATCCTTATTTACAGAAATATAAGGTTTTGGTGGGGTGCTGCTTTTAGCACTTTCCCTGCTACATTTTTAGCCATATACCTGCAAACTGGATGTTCTCCCAGGCCTTCAGATAGGGAATCCTTGGCAGTTTTTTTACAATGTAGGGAGCTGGGTTGTCCAGATTCTTGGGCTCTTCTCTTTTCGTGATTTTCAATTTTGTCTTTTTCTCTCGTAAACAAAGTTGGCCTTTAGAGATCAGGGAGTCATGGGCAGTAGTAATGTAGAGCTGACTCGTATCTGTCAGCAGAGGTGAGTCAGAGGGAGAGGCAGAGAAAGTAACGAACGGTGCGGTGGTGGGATTCGAATTTTTTTACTACCGGTTCTGTGGTGGGCATGACATGGCTTGGTGGGCGTGGCGAGGGAAGGATACTGTAAAATATCCATTCCCACCCTATTCTTAGGGGTAGGTTACTGCAAAATCCCCATTCCGTCCCCACCCCATTAACCTGCTTTCCAGCTCCGTTCTCCTGTGCAGGGCAACCAAAGAAGACCCAGCCAATCAACTGGGACTCAATGGGAGGCAGAGAAGAGATGGGGGCAGGGCCAGTCAGAGGCGGTATTGGCCGGTTCTCCAAACTACTCAAAATTTCCGCTACTGGTTCTCCAGAATTGGTCAGAACCGGCTGAAGACCCCCTCTAAAACGGCGGGATTCAACCTGACCTGCTTCAGAGGTGGGATGAAATGAATGGCTTGAGGTCAGAGTGAGAAGGGACTTCAAAGATCTTCTAGACCAACCCCCTGGATGAAACCTTTTGCAGACAAGTGGCTGTCCAATCTCTTCTTAAAAGCCTCCAGCGATGGAGCACCTACAACTTCTAAAAGCTGTTCTACTGGTTAATTGTTCTCACTGTCAAGACATTTCTCCTTAGTTCTAGGCTGGTTCTCTCCTTGCTTGGTTTTCATCCATTGCTTCTTGTCTTGCCTTCAGGTGCTTTGGAGAATAGCTTGACTCCTTTTCTCTCTGGCAGCCCCTCCAGTACTGGAACACTGCTATCAAGTCACCCCTGGTCCTTCTTTTCACTAGAAAACCTCTTTTCAATTTTCACTAGGCCGTTTCAAAACAATTGGGCACTCAGCAAAGATAGTCTCCATTCACTGATCACAAATTCTTATTGACAGTAAGAGAAGACATATTATTTTTCCCTTCTCAGGATGTGGATAATATTTATCGTGCCCAGGGATGCAGAGAATTCAACCTGTTGGATTTCAACCACCTGCCCAGCCAGTGAGTTTATATAAAAGAATCCTGGGAGGGGCTTGGATGTGTAAATTGTAGGTTGGAGTTTGTGCAACAGCAATCACAAAAGAGGGTTAAAATAAGTTTAAACACCTGCATTCCTCAATTTTATTTCTTGCTTTAAAAAAAAGTAAGCAGAATTCTAGCCTTAAATGAACTGATTTTATATTCAATGTGTCCATAAACATTTTGTATAGTTGTATAGGTTCATATATGTGCAGTCACACTTATCTTTGTGTGCTCGTGTACATACAGTTTATTGTGTTTTCCATTGTCATATTCATGGATGCCTTGCATATTTGCATGCATATATTTATATTTTACTGTTATTTTGCACTTCTTATTGGATGCTAACTGCATTTCGTTGCCTGTATCCATGGCAATAAAGTTGAATCTAATCTAATCTAAAAATGGGTTGCCCTCAACTTACGACTGCAATTGGGACCAACATTTCTGTTGCTAAGCAAGGCATTTGAGTCACCCCCCCCACTTTAAAACCTTTTTTGCCATGGTCATTAAGCAAATCACTTCAGTTGTTAAGTGAATCACCCTATTGTTAAGCGAATTGGGCTTACTCCACTGATTTTGCTTGTTGGACGTTGGCTGGGAAGACTGCCAATAGCAATCACATGGCTGAGTGCCTGAATTTTTGATCATGGAGATCCTGCAGCGGTTCTTAACTTTGAGGATTGTCTTAAGTCACTTTTTTTTTCTGTACCTTTGTAATTTTTGATCGCTAAGCGGATGATTCTAAGTCGCAACTGCCCGTATTTGTTGAGAGGTCTTTGATCTAAGGTAATACTACAACTTTTTAATTCTCAACCCCTTAGCAAAGTTAAGGAGGGGATCATGCAAATCATCTGTTTGGTTGAATGGGCATCTGAATAGGTCACATAGAGGTAAAAAGAAAAAATCCCATCACATTCCTATTTAACCAAGTAGAAATCATGTTTTATATTTGCAGGATGGCCTAAAACAGAGGTCTCCAAACTTGGCAGCTTTAAGATTTGTGGACTTCAACTCCCAGAATTCCTCGGCCAACATAACATAGCTGGCTGAGGAATTCTGGGAGTTGAAGTCCACAAGTCTTAAAATTGCCAAGTTTGGGGACCCCTGGCCTAAAACCATATAACAGATTAACAGAATAACAGGGATGGAAGGGACCTTTTAGGTCTTCTAGTCCAACCCCTGCTCAAGTAGGTGATCATATACCATTCCAGACAATTGACTGTCCGTTGTCTTCTTAAAAACCTTCAGTGATCCAGTGGTGGGATTCAAATATTTTTACTACTGGTTCCATGGGCGTGGCTTGGTGGGTGTGGCTTGGCGGGCATGGCAGAGGAAGAATACTGCAAAATCCCCATTCCTCCCCCCCCCCCACTCCAGGGGGAAGATTATTGCAAAATCCGCCCTCCCCACCACACTAACCTGCTTTCCAGCTCTGTTCTCCTGTGCAGGGCAACCAAAGGAGACCCAGCCAATCAGCTGGGACTTGGGAGGCAGAGAATAGATGGGGTGGGGCCGGTCAGAGGTGGTATTTGCCAGTTCTCTGAACTACTCTAAATGTCCTCTACCGGTTCTCGAGAACTGGTCAGAACCTGCAGAATACCACCTCTGTGGAGCACCCACAACTTTAGGAGGCAACTGGTTCCACTGGTTAATTGTTCTCCCTGTAGTTAGATGAGATTCTTGCTGAACTGCTGTCTTAGCTACAACTCTTTCCAACTGTCACTGAATATTATCTTTGTATATTGTTTTTGTTTTTCTGCAGAGATATTGCCCTTTGTGTGGCCAGCTTATCGTTCAATCAATGGTTTACAAAGCTACATTGCAAAGACTTCAAACTGGTGAGTGCAGCAGTCAGCCAAGAGACCCCAAAATACCCCTCCCATCTAAACAGGTTTAATCCTAAACAAATTTTGCACGTTGTATGAAAGCATCTTGATGTGCTGAGATGATTGTGTGACAAGTTTTACAGTCTGCTCTGGCATGAAATAGTTTTTAATGTTCCCATAACCAGGCCAGGATGAGATAATGATCAGAGAGAATAGATGAAGTTGGATAGAAATGCAGGAAGGGCTTTCAGTCGTGATTATTGATTATTAACCTGCTGTAGACCAGTAAAATGTCAAGAAGTGTCTGACTATTTTTTGATCACAATTTTCACTCTTTTTCGTAACTTGGAAGGAGAACTTTTTCTAATGCTTTCATGTCTTAGCTTTGTCTATGTGTGTCTCTTTTCCTTATAACAGAATCAGGTTATTTTGGAGGAGATCCTTCTGGCCCTAAGAAAATCGGTCACTTTGGAAGAATTGGAACTGGAAAACTGTGGCTTAAAATGGTAAGCGAAGGTGCTTGAACTACACCTTCCTTAGAAATTTAAGAAATAAAATTCTAGCTGCGGTAAAATGTGGAAGCTTTCTGACAATTGAGTTTGTATTAGAGTAGCCGACTAAGAGAGCCAATAATTAAAGCAAACTGTAGAAGAAACACTGCAGTTATTCAGAGGTGAGTAAACTATCTTGGAAAATAACCAAACAAAAGAACTCCGACCCACAAAAATATAACAAAACCAAGCTATTTAATGAAAGAGAATGAATGATTGCTATTAGTAGAAGACGCAATAAAATTTATATACTGGCTGAGTCCCAATGACTCTGGGTAGTTCAACAAATTTTATTTGTTTTAAAACTACCCACTTTTACACATGGCTTACATAATAATTTTGGAGAAACCAGAATACTATATTTTCAGTTATTCATGTTGTGCACAAATGCAGCCCATCCACACCACCAAAAAACTCGAGCACTTGTCTAGGTTTAGAAGGACATTGATGGTTCCAGGTTGACTTTAGCTGTTTTTCTAGATTACATATACACACCAACCAGAAATCTAATCGGAAATCAGTCCTAGCCAACTGGACATTGGCCAAGAATTCTGCTCAACCTCCTTGTGATCACAGATTCTTCTTCCCCCTTTCCATTGCATGGACCACAGGCTCTCTGTCTCAATCTCAAAAGCTGGAAAGGGAAGTCAGGGATTGTCCTCAAAGTTATACTGTATGCACGATTGCACATTTGGTCTCCTTTCCTCCCTTTCTCCTCAATCCAGGCTGGGTTTCATAAATGTATGATATATTCTGGAAGCACGGAATGAAAAAAAAACCAACCATTAAATCTGGCATTGTTGTCAAACAATTGAATTCAAAGGACTATCTCGCTGTCCATGGTGCTTGAGTTGTGTTGTGGAAAATACGTCATGGATAAGACACAAGGAGGGAACAAACTCCAGACAACTACAAATATTTCCTACAGCCTTGTATATATGCCTGTGCATGGATTTTTTTTTTGTTATTGTGTGAAATTGTCTCTCTTTTGTAGTGACTTTGCTCAGCAGATGGCCCTTGTCCTTCAAGAATATCCAGACTGTGCTTTAAACAGCCTTAATCTCTCTAGAAACCTCCTGGAGGACCGAGGTAGGATATTCCCAATGTCTCAGCAGATATTTTGAAGTAGGATTTCCCATGATCTGGCCATAAAAATGGATTGGATTCATCACTACTGTTCAGCTTTTCAACTGTGACATGATAGCAGTGTTCCAGTATTTCAGGGGCTGCCCCAAAGAAGAGGGAGTCAAGCTATTCTCCAAAGCACCTGAGGGAAGGACAAGAAGCAATGGGTGGAAACTCATCAAAGAGCGAAGCAACTTAGAACCAAGGAAAAATTTCCTGACAGTTAGAACAATTAACCAGTGGAACAACTTGCCACCAGAAGTTGTAAATGCTCCAACACTGGAAGTTTGCAAGAAGAGATTGGACAGCCATTTGTCTGAAGTGGTGTAGGGTTTCCTGCCTAAGCAGGAGGTTGGACTAGAAGACCTCCAAGGTCCCTTCCGACTCTGTTATTCTATTCTATTTTATTCTGTCATATGATTAGAATAGTATGATCTGAACTTGCTGGTGGAATTATATAGCCAGGGCCATGGTGCTATCTTTCTCCACACATTGGAGGGTGCCTACCCGGGAGGAGCCTGTTGTAGAGTTGGTACTATGGTTAACATGTGGATCAGAACTAGGGAGATCATAGTAGAATCCAGGCCAATCATAGTAGAATCTCAGATGGGTATATGCATCTGTATGAACTTGCTCATGTATCCTTCACAATAGAAACCTGTGATACAGTATAAGCGGACAACTACCAATATCAGTGGTGGATTGCACCACCTCTATGACTTGTCTCTGGTTGACTTACTCTGCCCACAGGTATAATTGCTCTAAGTCAGATCTTCGATCAAGGGAACAAGGGTTTCCGGTCCCTGAACATCGCAAGGACTTCTGTCACTCAGAAAGGTACATGCCATCCTTGTTCTTCTCTCCAAAGCTTCTAATGATGAATTCCATCTTTCTGAAATCCACAAACTCTCTTCTTTCATTGGATCACTATTGCTGTCCTGCTGTGAGATCTATCACTGTGACTGGGGGCCTTTTACTTGCATAAATTCTAGCTTGTTCAGTTTATGTCTAAATCTGACACTGTGCACATTTCCTTCCCCAAGATTTTCTCCAAAATTATTTCTTTGAGAGGAAGTTCTGAAGGAAATTCTGTTTCATGTTGTAATTAGAATTCAAATAGAATAGAGCTGGAAGGGGCCTTAAGAGGTCTTCCAGTCCAGCCCCCTGCTCAAGCAGGAGAATCCAAAAAGAGATCACTTTGGCGGAAAAACAAATCTGGTCACGTTGACAACTTCAAAAGCTGATACAAAAACTTATGCCACCAGACAAAGACTGAATGCACCAACTATCACATTAAACCAATAGTATATCAGATAAGTGACTAGCTAATCTCTGGTAGTGTACTGAATGATCCCTGGATAATTTTTCTGCCCAGGTATATTCTTAACATATTTTTGACCATGTCTTGCTAGGAATGATGGCCTTATGTCAATCCTTCGTCAACAATGGACAATTCAGAACCAGCCTATCCCATCTGGACCTCTCTGGAAATCCAGGAAGTTTGTTGGCTGAAGGTGGAAATGTAAGTGTGAATGAGTTATGGGAGCAGTTTAACAAATATCTCTGCCTTCTTCACCCCTTAAGAACAGGGAGAAACAGATAATCGTAGTTCTCAGGTGAGTTTTGTCAAATGAGTTTTGCCTCATTTTACGACTTTTCTGGCCACTTTTGTTAAGTGAACCCACTGTGATTGTTAAACTAGTAGCATCGTTGTTAAGTGAATCTGGTTTCCTCATTGACTTTACTTGTCAGAAGGTCACAAAAGGGGATCGTGTGACTCCAGGACACTGCAACCATCATAAATGTGAATCCGTTGTCAGACATCAGAATGTAAATCACATGACCATGGGGATGCTACAATGGTCATAACTGTGAAAAATGGTCATAAGTCACCTTTTTCAGTGCCGTTGTAAGTAAGCAAACTGTTGTCAGTCAAGGACTACTTGTAGTAAGGATTAGATGGGAAATGAAATTGGTGTGATGAAAAGATAAATTAAGTCTATATTACGTGGTGATTTGCTTTATTGGTGGCAGTTAAATAACTGATACACTTTTGTCTGGTTATAGCCAAAGGCTCTGCAATTCAAGCATGCAAAAGGAGTGTTAAAATGCAGAAGCATTTCAGTTTAATTGCTCTGAAACCAATAAAAGTAGATTTCAAAACATAAAAACATTTCACATACTCATATCCTTTGCAGTCAACTGTATCCCACAAGAGAAAAATTGCTCTCAATTTTTTGGCTATTTCAGCAAACTTTGCAACCAGCTCAGTGGTTTACATAGCTTTCACCCATCAGAGATTTTATGACTATCAGTATCTGAGGAGCCATTCTAATTGTTGACAAAATGTTCCTTCTAGAATTGATACATAATTGGTAAAAGAGTAAATAAGGCAAAATATTTGCAGTTTCCCCCAATGAAGGAGATAACATTCATGGTTCACTGATTTTGCTTGTATTCCTGAAACAACAGACTTGAAATTCCAGACCTAGAAAACCATGAATTACGCCGTCTTCGGTCTGATCTAAGTATAGTATATAGAATCATACATTGCAATGTCCTACCTGTCAATGAATACTTCAGCTTCAACCATAACAACACAAGAGCACACAATAGATACAAACTCAAAGTTAACTGCACCAAATTTAATTGCAGTAAATATGACTTCAGCAACAGAGTGGTCAATGTCTGGAATACTCTACCTGACTCTGTTGTTACATCCTCTAACCCCCACTCCTTTAGCCTCAGACTATCCACTATTGACCTCACCCCTTTCCTAAGAGGTCTGTAAGGGGCGTGCATAAGTGCACCAACGTGCCTACCGTCCCTGTCCTATTGTTTCTTTTTATTTTTCTTATATGTATCCATTTCATGTATCCATAACTATGCATATACTTATACCTTTTATCTTTGAAGCGATTGATAAATCAAAATAAATAAAACAAATAAATAAAATAAAGATACTAGAAATAAATAAAATAAAATAAATTTCCCTACTAATTAAATAGAATTGTGGTGGGAGATATAATTGGTGTGGATTTTTAAATGTTATCTTTTAATCTGAATTTGGATCATGAGTCTGTTGATCAATACTATAATATTCCATAATATTGTCCCATAATATTGTTGCATGACACAATCAAGTCCATGTTTATTCACTCCTTGCAAGTAAAGGAGAATATTTTAGTGAACTAAGATCCTATTTAATGGCTAAAGAATCAAGAAGTGAGATAATAACCAGATCACCGCTTTTAGTGAGGCCAATGAAGAGTTACTCTTTTTAAAATAATAATTTTAAAAAATATTATTATTAGAATTATATAAGCTTGCTAAATATAATAAATATAATTAATAATATTCTATCTGTATTAAAAGGTATGGCATTTAAAATAGGGTGACTGGCATAATAATAACACATTGAAATATTGAATAACTAAATAATGAAAGATTATAATTTAATCAAAATGTGTGCATTATTATTAGAATTATATAAGCTTGTTAAATGGAACAAATATGATTAATACTGTTTTATTTGTATCAAAATGTATGACACAGGTGCCACACTGTTCACGCATTGATATGCTTGTAAAAAATAAAAAACTTGGGGGAGAAAAAAGAGTTGCTTTTAAAAAATAAGAATAATACTTCTATTTTTAAAAAATTGTGCTATTGGCTAAATCAAGCACCACTGATTTTAAACAATGGCCAAAATTCAGCAGAAAGGTTCTTTAAAAGTCATTCCCCAAAATTACTGACAAATATGTAACATTGCCCCCTTTCTTAATCTATCCCAACCTTAAAATCTTTTGGGTCTGTAAAGATAGTTCCCTGGAGGCTGGAAACATCATCACTAATGTAGCTCAAGCAGAATTATAATCTCATAAAATAATTTTGCAGCAGGACTTCCAGCCTGCTCCATTTCTGAACACTTCAGGGGTAGGTAATATTATGTATAGCTGGTCCTTGACGAACAGCCAGTGGTGGGTTTCCAATTTTTTTTCCTACTGGTTCTATGTGCACGTGCTTGCAAGGCTCCAATACCGACCTCTGCCAATGCTGGTGAGCTGCCTGAACTGTTTTTTTTTTACCTCAGATGAGGCAGGGCAATCCGGTCTGCCGCAAATCAGCTGAGCTAAAACAACAAGGAAATATAGGAGACGTAATGGCGGGGGCAGGGGGCAGAGCCAGAGGAGATATTCAGCAGGTTCTGGCCTGTTCTGGAGAACCGGTAGCAGAAATTTTGAGTCGTTCGGAGAACCAGCAAATCCCACCTCTGACTGGTCCCGCCCCCATCTATTCTCCGCCTCCCATTGAGTCCCAGCTGATTGGCTGGGTCTTCTTTGGTTGCCCTGCACAGGAGAACGGAGCTGGAAAGCAGGTTAGTGGGGTGCAGAGGTGGTATTCAGCAGGTTCTGACCAGTTCTGGAGAACCGGTAGCAGAAATTTTGAGTAGTTCGGAGAACTGGCAAATCCCACCTCTGACTGGAGATTTTACAGTATCCTTCTCCTGCCACACCCACCAAGCTACACCCACAGAACTGTCAGAGGCCGGCTGGGCAGTCAGAGGAGGACCCAGGCCCATTCCTTATCCAACCTAGGAGGAGAGGATAAGGGAGAGACATGGTCTCCTTGGGAGGAGAGGGCCTTGATCCTCTTCATAGGATGCAGGTGTGATAAGAGTTTGGACCTGCAGACTAGCAAACGCTGAAAACTAAGCGTGTTTTATTTTGGCCTGAAGTTATCTTGGTTGGCGTCCTTCCAATAGATTGTGCCTTGTTATCTCCTTGAATTTGGTAAATACTTCTCCTGGTCCGTTGTGGAATTTCCTTCATTGTAGTTTGTTTGGGTTTTTATTTCATCTCTATTTGCTCATTAAGTTCGGACTGTTTTGCTTTCTTTTGAAGACTATTTTTGAGTACGTTTTATCTCCAACTATTATTGAACAATGGGGCCAAGTTAGAGGCATTAAAGTACATTTATTTATGTCTTGGATTTTGTTACGTATTTGTTACACTCTGGGTCATCACACTGACATTTGTTTAGTGACTGTTTGAAACTTACAACAGCAATGAAAAAAGTGACTTGCAATCAGTCCTTACGTGGTTATGACCACGTAACCAAAATTTGGATTTATTATTTATTTTATGTATTTAGAAAATTTATATTGCCACCTACACGCCCACGGCGACTCAAAGCAGCATACAAGGATATAAAAACACCATATAAAGGAAATAAAAATAATAAAAGGAAAAAATAATAAAATAATAATTCACCCCCCATCCACCCCTTGGCGACAACACACAATTAATCCAACCATTTAATGAGCTCCATCTCACTCTGGGTTCCTCAGGCCCACTGGCAAAAACCATGTTTCCAAGGCCTTCCGAAACAGTATTAGAATGTCTAATCTCTGGGGGAATGATGCTCCTGAACGAGGGAGCCACCACGAAGAAGGCCCTTCTTCTGGGTCCCACCAGGTGTATCTCCTCAGGGTACGGGACCCAGAATATTCCCTGCCTCCTTGCTCTAGCGGGGAGTAGATGCTTGGCAACTGGTAAGTAGCATCCCTGGATCATGTGATCAACATTTGTGACCTTCTCAGCTGGCTTCTGTCAAGCATAATCAATGGAGAGAGCCAGATTTGCTTAACGACCATAGAATTCACTTAACAACTGCAGTGATTTGTTTAACAACGATGGCAAAAACGGATGTAAAATCAGGGCACCACTCACTTAAGAATTGCCTTGCTTAAGCATGGAAAAATTCTAGCCCCGAATTGTGGTTGTAAGTTAATGTCATGCCCTTCTTGACAAGAGCACAGTCGCAATTTTTCTTTGAACTGCTCTCCTCTGTCTCTTTTTCCCCCCAGGGTTTGTTTTCCTTCCTGAGTCAGCCAAATGCTCTGGGTCATCTTGATCTCTCTGGGTCAGACTGTGCCCTGGATATGGTGAGCAACTACCATAGCAACCATTGTTTCCGATCCACCTGGAATGTTTATTTATTCATTTATTTGTCAAAAGCTTACAATATAACAGAAACAAGAATAAACATAAGTTTAAATACAAGAAATAGGAACTAATAACTGGGGACAATAGGACAGGGACGGTAGGCACGATTGTACGCTTATGCACGCCCCTTACAATGTGTGACATCCTGTCCTCTCTTTTTTTTTTTTTTTGCATCATTTTGGTGAAATCCAACATGACTGCAAAGACTGTCATGAGCACCTGGAATAAAAGGACAAGGACCCCTCGTATGCTAAGCCAGACACCTGCTCCATGAGTTGACTTGTTTGAGTTGACCATGAGTTGACCATGTTGCTGTCTATTTTTTGTTCCTCCTGCCAGCTCTTTGGTGCCTTGGCTGGTGGATGTTGTGTAAACCTGACTCATCTGAATGTCTGCAAGAACGTTTACTCTCACAAGTAAGAGCCTGAAATGTTTTGCTCATCTGAATGTCTGCAAGAACGTTTACTCTCACAAGTAAGAGCCTGAAATGTTTTGCTCAACTTCTCCGGCTGTGGGAGACAGGTTGGTGAAGGGGGTGGGAAGGCTGGGTTCATGCCTGCAGTAGCACACACACACACATACACACCTGCTTTGGAATTTGCTAGACGATTGTCATTTTGTCATCGGCATTGACAAAATCCACCTTCTGACAATTGCAAAAAGCAGCTCTATTTGGAACAGCTTACATCCTGCAACGATACTTTTAATACCGTTGAACGACAACGTTTTCCTATCCCAGGTCCTTTGGGAAGGATGCAACAAGTGGATAAACATGCCAAATCCAGTCTGAACACCTGGCTGACTGATGAACCACAGTAAATCTTCCTAAGGACCTGGAATCAAACCACATCTGCATATTGCAAGTCCTTGGGAAGGACTCCGCTGGTGGATAAAAATGCCAAATTCACTCTAAACATCTGGCTAACTGTACAAAGAACCATGATAATGAATAATGCATGAATAATATATAGCAATAGGCACCTCATGCAAACCCAGAACATCTGTAGCCACCACTTAAATACCATCAGCATTGACAAAATCCCCAAGAGTCGATTACAAAAGGCAGCTTGACTTGTAACAGCTTACTTACATCCTGCAAAAATACTTTTTAATACTATGAAACAGGAATATCTGCCTATTCCCAGGTCCTTGGTAAGGACTCGATAGGTGGATAAAAATGCCAAATCCAGTCTTCATCACCAGCCTAATAATAATAATGATGATGATGATGTATTAAATGCATATCCCAGCAGCTTTGAGCAATTTATAACCATTAAACCATTCAAAAACAAAGAACAAAGAGGAAAAAAAAGATAAGAGCAGCATATGACACAAGAACAATGATGGTAAGGAACAGAACTATAGAGAGGAGCAAAGACTTGCTTGCCTTTTCTTAAACAAGCTGGCCTTTCTGTGCTCCCTTACCTATTGCCATTTGGCATAACTCTGAAGCCACATCTTCAGAGACAAAATATTGGAACCTTAATTGCAAATGAAAGACAGTGATTGTCTTCCCAGGCAAACACAGCCAGATGCACAAACACCACCATGGTTCTAGTTGCAACATTGGGCACAAGTGTACAGAGAACAAAGGGAGACGTTTTGCAAGGTGAGGCTTATAAGATTCCAAGTCGGCCAATTCTTTAGAGTGGGTGGGAGACTAGATCACGTATGGTCCATCATTTTGAAGCAGGATGGAGGCGCTTTGCACTTTAACATTACTTTTGGCTTCCGAGAGCTCTAAAGGGTTAAACTGGAGAGGGAGCCAAAAATTATTTCCGAAATGTAATCAAACTGGCTCTCTGCTGCATAAAAGATTTGCCTTGTTCCTGATGCAAGCTGAAGCCCTGATCTTGAGGATGTAATCATCGTACGTGTTTGTAATTTAGATCTTGAGGATAATCTCTGCCAGAATTTGCATTTGCACATTAAATCTCGGGAGGTCCAGAATCATTTGTGTCCTGAAGACATAGTCTTCAGTAGCAATATTTCTTCTACACAGCCTCATGCAACCAACATCTATTTGGTCTTTACTAGCTTTTCATGCTTCGCAGGGAGCTGTCCAGCAACAGTTGACAAACTGCCTTATTACTGAGACAAGAAAAAGGGCTGTTCTCTCTCCAGTAACTCTGTGCAAGATACAACAGCCATCAGGCTGCAAAATGCTAAAAAGTGATGGATGAATCTATTCATTTTTATTTCTATCCTTTTTTTTTCCGTTCTTTGGTTGATCCGGTTAAAGCATCCTTTGGAGAATTTGTTGTGTGTTTTTAAAGCTAAATGCACTTACGTCTGCAAGCAATAGAGAGCATTTCATAGCCTGCTTTTTCTAATAAATACAAGGAAGGTTTTTCTTTTTTTAAAAAAAAAAGCCTTAATCTATTTTCACATCTATTTTAAAACAAGCATCCCTGCAAAAGTTAATTTCTGTTTGAAAATATACAGTATTTGCAAAAAAAAAAAAAAAAAGCTAAATAAATAGTGATTCTGACATCCTGGTTCAAAAATGCAAAATGCCTTTTGCTGGAGAATTATTCAATCTCCACCTATTCAGAACTGCTGCACCCTTCTTTTTAGAATATCAAAAATTGCATTTCCTTTATGTTGAATTTGGATTCATCTATGTCAGTGTTTCTCATCTTCAAAAACATTAAGATATGTGGACTTCAATTCCCAGACTTCCTAAAATTCCCAGAATTCCCCAGCCAACCATGTCATCTGGGGAATTCTGGGAGTTGAAGTCCACACATTTTATATTTACTGAGTTTGAGGAACACTGATCTACATTGTTCTCTTATTTGCCATTACTTTCTTCTTCTTTTCCAACATTCCCACTGAATTACTAATCAAATCTGATCTTGCTAGGTTTTCTGTGATCAACCAAAGCCACCTATGACTGGCTGGATCTTGTGGCTTCCCCAAATACTGTTATTGATTGGATAAAGCTTGTGGAGTGTAGAAACAGGAAAGGATTCCTTTAGAGATGCTATTCTATCCGAATTCATGCTGGGTTTGTGGTACTCCATTACCACCATTTCCCGAAAGAGAGGTGACTGCTTTTGAAGAGTCCTCGCATAAAATGTAGGTGCCAACTTTTTTTTTTCTCCTCAGAAAATCCAGAGGTGATCCTTTTGCAATCGGCCAGTTCTTCAGCCAGGCCTCTGCCCTACAAGAGGTTTCCATGTCTGGAACCAAGCTTCCTCCAGAGGCTTTAAGGTAAAGGAGTGGTGAAAACTTTGAGCTGAGTCCCCTGAGGGGAGAGAGAGAAAGATGAAATATGGCCACAACATGGGACAAAATGCATTAAGGGATGTGTCAACAAGAGAGTTGACTAATTCATCGCTTGCTTCCTGTTTGGTTTTCCTCAGAGCTTTGCTTCAGGCTTTAGCCAACAACACCCAACTGGAGAACCTGCACCTGGACCTCAGTAGCTGTGAGGTAAACAGCGATTTCCTAGGAAGCACGTCTGATTGATGGTACAAGAGCCAGTTCCAGAAATTTGAAGTGAAGAAGCTGGAAATACACAGGAAACACAATATTACAGTTCCTCCTGTCCCCTTGAGATTCATCAAGGAGAATAAGGGGAAATCGTTCTAAAAGTTTACAGAGATTCTTAGTCATCCAGGTCATGGTTATCCCAAAGTGCTTTTTTAGGAGACAACTGGCCTTTCTTTGTTTTTCTTTGAAGACATTTCAGTCTAAATGTATTTCCTGTCACTGAGAAGAGTGGGGTTACAAGAGGATATAATTTATTTATTTTTTTGCAAAAATTGTGTACTCTTGGGTAGCCTTTTTGCATTTAAATCAAGCCAAACAGAATAGGCTTGATTAGAAAGATTGCATTTTAATCAATTTTACTCATTAAAGCAACAGCATCCTTTTTCAGGTTGGTCTGGAAAAAGATGTGCCTGCTTTAAAAATTTAAAAAGCTGTGTTTATGCAAGATCTACAACACTTCTTTTGAATCAATTGGGGGGCCTTACATCTGCCATGAGAAAAGGAGACTAGGTGAATTTGGAAGGTCTGCTCTCCTATTTGTTCCTAGTCATAATAATTCAGTGCACCCTCCATGCTGGGAGATATCTGTCAATAGATATAAGCTGCTTTCAGTAGCTACAGTGAAGATATATTGATTGTAGAAGCTTCTGAAGATTAAATGGATCATAGTTTTCTGAGTATTTCAATGTTACTACAACAAAACTATCTGACCCTCAATACTTATGATCCTTATTCCATAGCTGAGATCAGCAGGAGCCCAAGTGATCCAGGATCTGATATCAGATGCCAGTTCAATCCGTGACTTGAATTTGTCAGACAACGGTAGGGTCTATTTGTTCTCTGCCATCCTGTTGAGAATAAGGGGAAGGTAATGTTTCCTACATTTTTCAACCTGACATTAACCCAAGCAGTTGTCACTGTATCTGGATAGCAGTCAGTACAATAATCTCTCTGGCTTTCAACTAGGATATGTAGATGTTTTAAAAAAAAAATCTTTGTGGGAATATCCAGAGTGCTCATTTGGTTCCTGACCAAGTTTGCAGGCACAGACTTCCCAAAGAGAAGCAGTTGGGAATCTTGCTAGGTTTATAGCACCTAAGTACTGGTTTGCTTGCATTAAATCCCCCTCCCCATTTTTGTCCAGCCTGGGTTAAGGTTAGGGTTAGGGTCTTTATCAATGGATGCTCTGCCTTATCTTCCCCCTCAAGAGAGATTCTGCAGAAGTACAATCGGGAAATCCAGTTTCAGTATAGTAGTTAAGGTGCTGGATTAGAAGCCAGGAGACTGTGTGATCTATTCTTCTCTTAGGCAGGGATCCAACTGGGTGACTGTGGACCAATCTCTGAGATGATTGAGAGAGAATTAGACCAGAATAACAAAATAACAGTGACAGTAAGCAGGTCTTCTAGTCCGACCCGCGACTAAAGAAGGAAACCCTATACCATTTCAGACAGGTGGTTGTCCAATCTCTTCTTCAAAATTTCCAGTGTTGGAGCACCCACAACTTCTTGTGGCAAGCTGTTCCACTGGTTTATTATTCTCACTGTGAGGAAATTTCTCCTTAGTTCTAAGTTGCTTCTCTCCTTGATTAGTTTCCACCCATTGCTTTCTTGTCCTGCCCTTCAGCTGTTTTGGAGAATAGCTTGTCTCCTTTTTTATGGCAACCCTTAAATATTGGAACACTGTTATCATGTCACCCCTAGTCCTTCTTTTCATTAAACAAGGCACACTCAATTCCTGCAACCATTCTTTGTACGCTTTAATCTCATCTGCCTGCTTTCTGGAAATGGGAATCTATTTATTTTTAAATGACTATGTTCTTTGTTCCTTTAATGTCTCTGGCTGGCTTCCCAAAATTCAATAAAAACCTAATAGTAAAATCTCATTTTTAAAAACCCACCGTAAAATACCAAGAATGGCCTTGCAATTTGCGGTATAGTCCTTCTCCCATAAAAGCCATTGGTGAGAACAAGTCCATTGCATGCCCTCAGCATTTCCAGGGTGTCCAATGGCTCAAAACATTTACCTCCTCCTGAATGAAAACACCTGTGGTTCTTGTTTGATCGCCTCTTTTCTGCAGGCTTTGATTCTGACATGGTGACTCTGGTTTTGAGCCTCAACCGAAGCAAATCCATTAAACATGTCGCGTTAGGGAAGAACTTTAACATCCAATCTAGGTAAGCATACAGCACTCTCGTGGCATTAAAACAAAGCAAGCCCAAAATAAGATAGCATTGCTATGCTTTTGATAAGAGTAGATCCATCCACAGGAGAGGCATCATAATTTAAAATGGTCTGCTGCTAATGAGAATTTGAAACAAAGATCTGATGCTCAATTGAACATCCAGTCACATAGTAAAGAGGTCATGTCTATTGCACTCAGGGTTCTTAAAGTGTAAATCTTAAAGGCAGAAAGGTTACAGCTCTTGCAAGATTACAACAACTTGGGTTCCCCAAGTCCAGGCAGAAGGTGTTTTAATATCACTTGAAGCTTCTCCGTCAGATCAATCTACTGAGGCAATTGGACACCTCTTACAGGAGATTGAATTATATGAATTAAAACTCAAGAGTTGTCAAATTCTTTTTGTTTCATTCCCCTAGAGAGACCCTAGTTGACACCTTGCACCGGATTGTTCAACTCACTCAGGATGAAGATTGTGTAAGTGAAACTTAAAAAAAGAGAAAGCTTCATTGTGCATAGTATCTCATCATCTCTGGGGCAAAGCTATCAGCACCCCTATTTTTATAAATGTGAAGTCTTACCAAAGTCCGTGTCTATTTGATACCAGGCTGATCATTAAAATATAACCTGCTTTCAAAGTTTGAATCACAGTGTCGGCCTTGGGAGCCATGTTTTATTTGGAAGCTTCAAAGCTGCCACATTTTAGTGCCTGGGAATTTGGGAGGGTGATTTCATAGAGAGCTGGAAGATTAGACTCAACAACATTCTTCTCATAAAGTCAAGGACAAGTTACCCCGCACCAGGAGAGGAGTGACAGGAGGGATGTCTCCAGTTGGTACGATGGTTGATTGGGCCATGTGATGGACTGCTGGGTGCGGGGGATGGGGCTTTTGATTTTCAATTAGGAAGAGAAAACCCAGAAACTGCCTGATTCGGGATTTTCCAGATGTGACAACATGACTTCTTTAATAAATTCTTACTTGGATGAACTTTGATTCTGAGTGCTGAATGAAATGGGGAGTTTAATTTGGAGGCTGACACACAGATAAATTTTGTACAACGTGCTAGAGTAAGCTCAAATGAGGTTGGTAATGTACTTCATCTTCTTCTGGAAAAGCCATTGTCTCTAGTGTAATGGCGTGTGGGAAGGACCTTGGGAGACTGGCGGAAGAGCCACAGGTGGATAAGAGGCAACGTAGCCCACAGCAGGAAGTCAAATGTGGCAAACATCTCAGAAGGGACCCTCCCTAGATACTTGGGCTGCAAAGATGATGGGGGAGAAATGTGTTTTCAGACTTGCAAGATTTTGTTACTTCTTTTGTCTATTCATGTCAGAAGTTACCTACACATGATAGGATAGACACATAGCAATCAATACTGAGTGAATAAAACAGGTATGAAATAGGTCATAGAAATGTTGCATGTGTAAAACTATGTAGAATAAATAAGATTAAAATTAAATGACATTCACCCAGTATTGGACCATGTCAACAGCATTTTCTCTTGCCAGCATGAGTCTTCCTCTGAATACGTTGAAGGATATTCTATGCACTGTAGCATATGTGATATGGATGGTTCTCCACATTCACACAAAGTATCTTCTAAAGGGAAGCCCCGTTTTTTTGGATTGTCCCTCGATCTTCCTAGCCCAGCGCACTGTCTATTTAGCAATTTCCATACAGGCCAAGATTGTTGCTGACCAAGCTGGTCAACTCTTGACCATTCTGCTAATCTCACCTTAAAATAAAGTAGAGCTAGTTCTTCTGGATGTGCTGCTATTCCGGACTATCTTGCCAGCCTGATAATATGTTAGGTAAACTTTTATTGTCCCATTTAATGAACAGTTGCATTTCATATGAACTATGTTTTAACCTGATTTAGTCAGCCAGTGAGTCAGTGGAAGAGACCCAAGCCTAACGCAAAGGAATAATATGTATTTATTTATTTAAATATAATAAGTTATGAAAACACCATCATTGCTTTTGAGTTCATCCTTGACAAGGCTTAGTATGTTGTGTGTGAACCAGCTACCTGTTCCTTCTCCTCTCTGATATGACCAAGATAAACATTAGCACTTAGAAGATTTTCTGCTTTGTTTTCCCCTGATTTTATTTCAGTCAATTGAATCTGTATCAGTGGCCGAATCGCGCCTGAAGCTGAGAACTGGCATTCTCTTTCATGGTTTAGGAAGCAGCAGCCATCTTGTGGCCTTGGATATCAGCGGAAATGCCATGGGAGACCTGGGTGCCAAAATACTGGCCAAAACTTTGTCGGTGAATAAAACTCTCAGGTGTGTTGGACTTCTTCTCGATCAGTGGATGAAAGAGCGGGATGGGGAAGACAGAACTTGTTAGAAGAATTTTGGTTTGCCAGAGAAATAGTCATGCTTTGTCTCTGACATGTCAAGGTACAAGAATTGGGGGGCAAGTCTATGTCCCCAAAAGATGTCTGACTGAACTGGCTGAGTTCAGAAGGCTGAATAGTAGCATGGGTAGAAAACCTCAAGGCTATTATAGATAGCCACAAAGATCATCTTGAGGGAAATACCCAGAAGCTGTTTCAGAAACAACAAGGACAAGAAACATTCCTTAAGCCTTGGGAAAGGAGAAAGGGTAAGGAGGAGTGAGCTCCTTCTTGACTTCTTAGAGTCAGATAAACAGATAAACAGATAATCAGAGTTGGAAGGGACCTTGTAGGTCATCTAGTCCAACCCCCGCCCAAGCGAGAGACCCTACACCATTTCTGACTAATGGCAGTCCAATCTCTTCTTGAAGGTCTCAAGTGATGGCGCTCCCACAACTTCCGAAGACAAAAGCTGTTTCATTGGTTGATTGTCCTCACTGTCGGAAAGTTTCTCCTTATTTCCAAGTTGAATCTCTCCTTGTTCAGTTTCCATCCATTATTCCTTGTCTGGCCTACAAGTGCCATGGAAAATAGTTTGACCCCCTCCTCTCTGTGGCAGCCCCTCAGATATTGGAAGACTGCTATCCTGTCTCCCCTGGTCTTTCTCTTCACTAGACTAGCCAAGCCCAGTTCCTGCAACTGTTCTTCATATGTTTTAGCCTCCAGTCCCCTCATTATCCTAGTTGCGCTTCTCTGTATTTTTTCAAGAGTCTCAATATCTTTTTTATAATGTGGTGACCAAAACTGGATGCATGTATGCATGCAGAGTATGCGAGGTAGAGAAAGAAAAACACAATCCATCTCGCAAGATTCTGTTACTGCGGCCTATCTCAATAAAGCCTACTTCTAGTCTGCATTTGGGGTTGGCTTCTTGTCTGGACAACCTGGGAAGGTTGTTGAAAAAATGTTGAAAAAACATCCTAGAAGAAAATAGCAAAGTATTTTCAGGGAAAGTGCAATAGATATTTATAATGAGGGAAAACTTAGAGGATGCACCCAATTGCTTGATGTCTACACCAAATCTATTTTTTTTATTAAACATTTATCTGTTCATAGGACTCTAATGTGGGACAGAAACAACACAACCGTATATGGATTTCTTGATGTGATTTCAGCTTTGGAAAGGTGCGTATTTTTATCTTTTTTACAGGGGTAGCCAAGTGCTTAAAAAAGAAGATAAAATAAGGAACAACAAATTCATGTTATCCCTAACTTTTTTTCTTACTAGCATCCAAGTGTACAAGATAATATAATGCTAATAACAACAGTGTCAACATAAACTGGAGAGGGTAGGTCAAATGGCATCTTTTGCAGGCTGCAATTTTAATGTATCGGAATTATTTTTAGACTTGGGTTTTGATGATGCTTAATTTGCTCGCGAATCCCTTAGCAGGAAGCAAAGCCTGAAACTGAAACACATCAGATCGCTTCAGGCCACACAAGGCAATTAAACAAGTTACAATTAAATATTTTTATGGGTTATAAGAAAAGATTTGGACTCATAAATTCATTCCAAAATGCAATCAAGTGACCACCGCGGATGGGTGCGGCGCTCAGAACTTTGAAATCAGGTCATAAGTACCTTTCGGCAGCCTGTTGTAACTTTGAATGGTGCCTAAGCAGCCAGTCGTTAAGCGAGGATGACCTGTAAATCCTAACCTACTTGTTTTCACACAGCATGCTAAATCACAATGAAGGTTAAAGGAGCTTGGTGCTAGATTAAGCACAGAATGCATCTGCTATCTGGCCTGCTTATAAATGTTGTGTGAACTCAGCCGCAGTATGTTGAGGGAGGATAACTGGTATCACACAGCAAGTTACACCATAATTTGGTTCAAGAGTAGTCAAATCCCAACCACTGTTTAGAGCTTTATGAGTTTACAGGTAGTCCTCGACTTACATGTGATGAACGAGGGTGGCATACAAAATAAACAAAGTCTCCAAAACAGATAAAGCCCCTTTTATTCCTTCACTTTGCTTCAAAGCTCCAAATATCCTTGACTGGAGACAAAAACCTCCCCCACAAACAATTACAGAAAGGAGGAAATGCCGTTTAAACTAAAAATGCCTATAAATTATAAAGAGTAAGAACAACACAAACCACACTGAAGCAATTAAGGGAACCACGCAAGATAAGAGCTTGGAGACGTCCACAGATATTGGAACACACACTGGGAAGGACGCCAAACTCAGAGAGGAACGACAAACTAGAGATATTTCCAAGCTTTGTTTCCAGCACTGGCCCATACGCATGTCTGTCCTTTTAACCAGTTCCCACAGCTGCAGCCCATGAAGGGGATCAAGGCCCTTTCCTCCCCCGTAGACCATGCCATTCATGTCTCACCCTTATCCTCTCCTCCCTGCATGCTCTAGGATGGAGAAGGGATGAGCCTGGGTGCTCCTCTGACTGCCCAGCCGGCCTCTGCCCTTCACCAGCCTCCTCCACAACATCCGGAGCCACATCTCCACTCCCTGTTGGCTGTTCCTCCTCTCCCTCGGAGTCAGTCTCAAACTTACAATGGCACAAAAAAAAGTAACTTATGACTATTTTTGACACTTAATGACCGTTATGACATCCCCAAGGTCATGTGATCAAATTTTTGACACTTGGCAACTGGCTCATATTTATGACGATTGCGATGTCCCAGGGTCACATGATCGCCTTTTGCGACCATCTTACAAGCAAATACCAAAGGGGGAAGCCAATTCATTTAACAACCGTGTCACTAACTCGACTACTGCTGTGATTCATTTAACAACTGCGGGAAGAAAAGTTGTAAAATGGGGCAAAATTCACTTAATAAATGTTTCACTTAGCAGCAGCAATGTTGGGCTCAATTGCTGTCGTAAGTTGAGGACTACCAGTGTAGTTTGATGCAAATCTAGCCAATTGTGACTTTAAATGCACCATAATGAAGCACACCTGGGTTTGATTTGTTGAGCAACTACTTCATGTTCCTGCTAAGGAAATCTGTACGCTAGAAAGCTCATGCTACATTAAGCATGTTAGTCTTTGAGGTATCATAAGACTCTGTTAGTTTTGCTGAATTAACATTAGCCAACTCCCCCAGGTAAGCGGTGACTTTCATATTTTCTGCCTTAAGACATCTTTCAGCAGTTGGAACTAGAAAACAATCCTGAATTAACTAGCATTGAAACACCGAAGATGTTTCATATGTAGCCCTTTCTTTCTGTACATTCCATAAATAGCCAAAAAATAGATTTACCTATTGAATGGATAGATGAATGGATAGATGTATGTATGTATGTATGTATGTATGTATGTATGTATGGATGGATGGATGGATGGATGGATGGATAGATGGATAGATGGATAGATGAATGGATAGATGGATGGATGGATAGATGGATGGATGGATAGATTGATGGTTGGATGGATGGTTGGATGGTTGGATGGATGGATGGATAGATGGATAGATGGATGAATGGATTTATACAGGTAGTCCTCGACTTAAAACATTTCACTTAGTGACTGTATGAAATTACAACAGCACTGAACAAAGTAACGATCATTTTTTATGCTTACAACTGTTGTGGCATTCTCATGGTCACCTGATCAAAATTCAGAGCCTTGGCAACTGATTCATATTTATGATGGTTTCATTGTCCCTGGGTCATGCGATCCCCTTTTGCGACCGCCTGACAAGCAAAGTCAACGGGAAAGTCAGTTTCATTTTAACAATCGTGTTTGTAACTTAACAACTACAGTGCTTCACTTAACAGCCAGGGCAAGAAAGGTCACAAAATGGGGCAAAGCTCACTTAATAAATGTCTCACTTAGCAGCAGAAATCGTGGCCTCAGTTGTGGCCATAAGTCCACCTTTCTTTTCCATCTGGGTGTGCAAGTTGGCTAGAATGAACTAAAACGTTGAAGTATACAATTCAGAAACTTGAATCAAAGCCAATGTATTTAAGCAGACATCTCAATATCTGTAGACTTATAAACATCAATATGTCAAATGCTTTGCCCCTTCTGTGCACCCCAGTGATGGGGCCAAGCACACCACTGCCCTGGACAATGTCCTGAAGAGGTCATTGTAATTTGGGTCATCTAATGAATATAGTGTCTGTCCCCCAGGAATTTCATCCTCACGAAAATGCCTTTGCCCATGAACGACATTGCTGTGGCTTACCGGAGTCATCCAGAGAAAATGGAGGAAATTGTGCACCAGGTATGAAGGAGGAAGGGACGTTGAAAGAAGAATGGGTAATAATTTAACCCACAAAGCAACTTTGTTCAGCTTGGGAGCCTCTTTTGAATGCTGAGGTTCTACCAAAGGATTTATGTACAGGATTTATGTAATCATGCGTGTTCCAATATGGTGGGGAAATGACACTTATTTTTCGGTAAGTGTAGCTGCTTGTTTAGGTAGAAGGGGAAGGACATGTGTATTCCTTGTGTACGTGAAATGCTTGTATGTGTCTACAGATACAGTCTTACCTTGCAAGAAATCAGATTCAAGCGAACCTGCCTAAGGAGACAAGCCAGCTCCAGATAGACAGTCAAGCCAACTCTTCTGAACAGGTGGGAATACCTGGAACCTGCCTACCTTTGTTGCTTTGCATGTAGCTCACCTTCGTCTTCTAGCAAAGGCAAAAGATGTTGCTTAAGGTCAATACATCAAATTGCACATTGGTTGGCTGGGAATGTTGAGCGTTGATGTGTATAAGAACAGGCACTATATTCAGTATAAAACAAATGAAAAGTGGCTGCAGGATTTGGCTGTGGTTAGTCTAGAGAAAAGGAGGACTAAGGGAGACACGATAGCAGTATGCCAGTATTTGAGACACAAAGAAGAGGGGGTTGACTTATTTTTCAAAGCATCCAGAGGGCAGGACAAGAAACAATTGACGGAAACTAATCAAGGAGAAAAGCAACCTAGAGTTAAGGAGAAACAACTCACAGTGAGATCAATTAACCAGTGGAGCAGCTTGCCTGTGGGTGCTTCATCACTGGAGGTTTTGAAGAAGAGACTGAACAGCTACTTGTCTGAAATGGTATAGGGTCTCCTGTTTGAGCAGGGGGCTGGACTAGAAGACCTCCAAGGTCCCTTCTGAATTGAGGTGAAATTCAGCACACCTACAAGATGTTGCTTGGAGAAGGCTGATCTAAAGACTATGAGCTGTTCCCAAGAGGTCCATGAAAACTGCCAGTAATAAGAACAAAATCATAGAACAAGTCAATGTGTTGAAGTGCTTCACAGTTGTTATCTTACAGGACTTAGAACAACACCGTGAAGTTATTTTTATGATCCAGAGCAGATGGGAACCCCAAGGTTCAAGAACATTTCTGAGTCCATGTTTGAGGGCAGTCTCCTCAATGAAATATGTCCTCTTATTCTCAGTTTGCAAGCCTCCACGGTGGCAGACCTCCAATTCAAACTGGGATGCTGGTACAAATGAAATGTTATAATCTGCAACAAGGAGGAAGGTGCTATTTATATTTCACCAAATGCTAGACTGTTCTGGAATCGGAAATGTGACAATGCCTCTTGGGAAATGTCTTTCCCATATAGCATTATTCACGACGGGAAATAATCCATCTTTCATTGGGGTGTGAATCTGCCCTCAAAATACCAGATTCTAATGCTGACCCTGGCTGGCCTATGGCCACCAAATCAATCAACAGTCGTTCCTGTATCACTAGGAATTGAACCCGATGGATATACCCAGTTTACAGTATACAGTGGCAGAATTCCTGAATTCTGACTAGCGTGTGAAATTGAAAGTGTAAAGGTACTGAAGGTGATGGAAAATTTGAAAACCACATTAAAGCAAATTCCCTTTTTCCATCCATTTTCTCTTTAAATCAGATCTATAGAAGGCTAGACAATTCAGCTTCTCTCACATTGACTAAGAACTCCTAGAAGTTCTATAAGGCTACAGGTCCTGCGATCATCCAAGTATTTCCTCTTTTCATTTTTAAAGACTATTAAGCAATTTTTCCCACAATGTAGAATGCCTACCCAGAGCAGCCTTTGGTTAGGAGTTCTGGAAGTTGAAATCCAGTACACCTGGGGGAACCAGTCTACAAGAGGCTACAATGCCCTGACAGAAGAGAATATTTATGGCTCCCTGTTGAACTGTGTGGAGTCCTTGGTGCTCTCTGAGTTTGGTGGTTTTCTTGCAGACATTTCTTTACCAAACTAGGTAACATCATCAGTGTCTTAAACGATGAACTTGAATGTTATGTGGACAATTGAATTTATGGGCAAAGGAATAAAGGTACAAATCATATAGATTTGCACTAGAAACATATCCTGTGTATGTCTATGCTACTCCAGAAGAAGTCTACTAGCCCTATTCCAACAAAAGCACTCCAGGTGAAGTATTTCAAAAAATGTTTTTCAAGGATCAGACATCTTTCAGTTTCCCTTTCCCTTTCTAGCTCAGACCTATTCTTGCAACATTGTCTTGGAAGATCTAATGATCTTGCTTTCACTGTTAGGCAGTGAAACATGCTTGCCAGACTGTGCAGAGGTACATTGGGCTGCTGAGCTGTGTTCAGGATTTGGAAGTTAAGGCTGATCTGCTTTGGGCTGAGGAAGCCAACAAGGATGCAACCCTCTTCATGGATGTGGGTTTTTTCTTCTTTGTTGTGTTCGTTACTTTTCCTTTTGATGGCTTCTCTTGATTTGGATGGGAGAGTAGGGTAGGGTAGGGTAGAGTAGGGTAGGGTAGGGTAGGGTAGGGTAGGGTAGGGTAGAATACAATAGAATAGGAAGGGACCTTGGAGGTCTTCTAGTCCAACCCCCTTGCCTAGGCAGAAAACCCTACACCACTTCAGACAAATGGTTGTCCAATCTCTTCTTAAAACCTTCCACTGTTGGAGCATTCACAATATCTGGAGGCAAGTTGTTCCTCTGATTATCAGGTAGTTTCATTGTCCAACCTGATTTCACCATTGCACTAAATAACAATCATTTTCAGAGTTAATGTCAGAATTAGTTGGTTATGTGAATCCAGCCATTGTGGCTTGTAGGTCAGGACTAGTGGTGTACTTGATGTGGAGTGTCCAAACAATTGCACTCAGGCAACAGTGATGAAGAGGAACCACACGTAGAGTTTTGGGTGAACCTATTCTCAGTTTCATTGTAGAGGTCATGCCAGGTGCCCCTGTAACTATAACCATAAGGATGCCGCTCATGACATGACATTTTCATATAAATGACATGTCAATTATGTAATTCATATCATTTGTGCAATAATGTCATAACGCGCCGAGCCTCACTTTTTCATCCCACTGATGGATGACAATGTGTAGCAGAAGAATTAAGATTATGCTGGAATGTTCTGATATCATGAATAACTTTCCTTGATAGATGTTCCAGCCTTAAAAAGTTTGCTTTATATGCTGCCTGTTTGTTTAATTCCAGTGGGTAACAAGAACATTTGGTCCAATAAATATGTTCCTCTAAATTCATTGATGAGCAACAACTCCTAGAATTCCTGTCCATCAGCCTGCTGGCAGTGGTAGGAGTTGTTGATCTGATCTGGAGAGTTGAAAGTTCCTCAACCTTTCTGTCCTTCTTCAGATGTTGATGAAGTTCCCCTCCTTCCAGGGTTGATCACAAAGACCATGCGTGGCTACTTGTGAAAACTATACCGATTTCTTTTCCAACAGATTTTGCCCATTTTGTACGAGGCAGGAGGAAGGCCTTCCTACCAGAACTGCAAACTTCAGCACAAACTGGAAAAACTAATTGAGGAAGTTTCTCAGACTTACAGCAAGGAAATCCAGGTAAAGGTGGGCTTTGGTGTTGCGTTGACCTGTTGGTTGCACACAGGGGTGGGATTCAAAAATGAGTTGTGTGGAGACTCCAGGGAGGGGAGGGCAGGGATGGGCAGAGCCAGCCTGTCGGTTCAAATGTGGGTTCTGCAAACCAGATGCAAATTTAACAACCGGTTCACGCGAACCGTTCTGAACCGGTAGAATTCTACCCCTAGTTGCAAACATTTTTTTCTCCTTGATCTTTTGGGAAATGGCTATAGCTTCAGAGAGCCTATATTGAATTAGATAGAGAGAGGATTTAGGATTTAGAAGAAGACAACTTCCTTTCTGTGTTCTTCATCTAACATTTGTACTGCAAAACCTAGCATTTGGTGTTGGCCTGGAACTTAGTGTCCTGGTAACCTTGCTTTAATTGCTTTTTAAAAATGAACATATCTACTCCATATGATAGAACAATATGTCCAAGAACATGTCGCTTAGCTTTTGCCATTCTGGTGCCATCTGGCTATGTGGAAATGGAAATACCAAAACTGTCCACTCAGCCCAGAGGTGGGTATTCAGCAGGTTCTGAGCAGTTCTGGAGAACCGGTAGTAGAAATTCTGAGTAGTTCGGAGAACCAGCAAATCCCACCTCTGACTGGAGATTTTACAGTATCCTTCCCAAGCCACACCCACCAAGCCACGCCCACAGAACCGGTAGTAAAAAAAAAAATTGAATCCCACCACTGACTCAGCCCATTCAAAAAGTTCCAGGCGAAGAAGGATTATTTTGGTTAGATCTTTGAGCATTCACAAACATGTCCCTTTCTCTGGCTATGAGAAGCTGAAGATAAAGGAGAATATTTGTAGCTCAGAGTTGTATACGGGGTCCTTGGTGCTGTCTAAGCTTGGTTGTTTTCTTGCACACATTTCATGTGGTAACTGGGAGCAAACCCCACACCTTACTAGCACTGATGATGTTACCTACTTTGGGTAATGAAATGCCTGCAAGAAAACAACCAAGTCCAGAGAGCACCAAGGAAGCTGAAAGTAAGATGTGAATGCTTACTTTTTTACACATTGTCACTATCATGGAAAACACAAAAGCGTCTTGAAAACAAGGATGGTTTGTCTTAAACATTACCAAATTGATGGTATATTCCCAAAGCTCCAACTTGTCCTTCTGCCGTCGTTGTCCTTTGCTTGCGATGAGGGCCAATAGGTTGACCTTATTGCTTCCAGTGTCACTTGACTGTTCCTTCCTCTTACCACAAAGGTGGTTTCACTTGCCTTCTCCAAGTAGGTGAAGACCAGCAGAAAGAAAAATAAAATGTTGCTTTCACCTGCCTTAGTTTCCTTTTCTGGACTTCTTTGCTTTCTCTTTTATCGCTTCGGGCATCTGGTTCTTGCTCTCGTGACGGCCTCAACCGTTGGTGCTGGGTCTTTGGTGTTGTCTCTCTGTCTTCTTCTGGGTCTGCCTCATGTTCTTTGACCTTCCTTCTTTTTGTATAAGCCTTGCACAGTATGGAATCCTACGACACCTTCTTTGCGGGGTGAGCAAACCACTTTATTTGCTTCTTTTTGTGTGTAGTTTAAGATTGGTTCTATGCCAATTCTTTCTCTTCCGGTCTCATTTCTGATTTTATCTCTTCTGGTCACTCCAGCAGCTTTGCTCAAACATCTCCTTGGTGACTAACCTTGTGTCAATTAGCCATGGACGTGTAGGATACACACAAAGGGCAGGATCACCTTAGCTACTTGCCCCACTGACAACTATTTCTGTTGCCTTCTAATTATCATTGCTCCAAAATATCACTAATGAGGATTGGCTTTCAACAATGACCAGGAGATGCCATGAAGATACTAGAAGTTACTAGTGAGGAGAGAATGAATTAATTTACTCCAGTTCCCAGAAGCGATACTCACTGAGCTTTCCTTACAGGCTGTTGTGCAGTCCCAGTTGGATGCTATGCAGAGTTTGCACCCTCAAATTTTGCAGAAAACAGATATCTTGAAGCAATTATTCTGCAATGCATCAGAGACAACCTTCCTGGACCAGTTGCTGACCGAAGTGTATGACGAGGTCATGTAAGTAATCCACCCCCTTCAAGCCTTATCAGAAGAGGGGAAAATAGCTGCATTTGTACTTACATATATGTATATTGCAGGCTTTGCCTGTAAGCTGTCTTGCTCTTGAGATTTCAGCATGTCTGGTGACCCAGTGTGATTGGGTTGAAGGAGCAAGAGAGTGTTACCTTTTCTTTCCACCCCACAAGTATATGGGCACTTGCTCAAGGAGTCTTGAGCAATCCTCTCTCTTGGCCTACTCAGCTTCCATATTTCATTCTTTCTGGCCCACCAAGTCTTCTTCTGCTTGATAGGAAAATCCAACGATCAATTACGGAGGCCATGACCGATATTATCACTGAGAAGACGTTGGAAGAGTTAACCACCATTCAAGACAGGCTGGTGAGTTGGTTGGCCAACCCTCAAAGACATCAATGGCCCCACAGAAGTTTTGTGTACAGGTAGCCCTTGACGTATGACCACAATTGAGCCCAAATTTTCTGTCGCTAAGTGAGACATTTGTTAAGTGAGTTTTGCTCCATTTTGTAACTTTCCTTGCCACAGCTATGAAGTCAAATCACTGCAATTGTTAAGTTGGTAACACAGTTGTTAAATTAATCTGGCTTCCCAATTGACCTTGCTTGTCAGGAAAGGGGAATCATATGATCCTGGGACACTGCAACCGTCATAAATATGAGTCAGTTGTCAAGCATCCAAATTTTGATCAGGTGACCGTAGGGATGTTGCAAGGCTCATAAGTTTAAAAATGGTCAGAAGTCACTTTTTTCAATGCTATTCTAACTTGGTCACTAAATGAACTGTTGTAAGTTGTACTACTGTTTCCTTCCACCCTTCCATTCTTCAGTAGGTTTGATCCCCACACTAAACTAGGAAGAACAATATTTTGCTCTGAGCAAACTATCGGTAAGATCGCACTGTATTCCTTTTGTCTACTATAACCCCAAATATCCACCCTATGTGATCAAGGCAGCTGACAATATAAAAGGCAATATTATGCCAAGAAGAAGTAATTCATGTACCCTTAAATTCAGTTCCTGCAAAAGAAAAGTCTATTTTACAACTCATTCTCAGGATGAATCTTTTTTTCTTTCTTCCCGATAACATGTTTTATCTTGTCTTGCTACAATCAGCTTAGGTTGTGGATCGGTTTGCTTTGATTTATTTTTTTAAGATTTTGTCAGTTGTTCCTAATCTGAAAAAAGGCCAATAGGATATTTTCAATTGAGATATGGTCAGAATTTCTTCTGAATCTTTAAAAAAAAAGTAGAAGCAGACACATTTCTATGAATAAGAAGAAATGTTTGGCACAGCACAAAACAGAAACAGACAAAGCAAAAGTGATGTCAGCCAGTCCAAAGTAAAATGATGTGCCATGTCATTGAAAAATAACAGATATAAAATCTGACTTGATGAAGTATTCTAACCACAGCTTTGAACAATGGCTCGCTTCCGTCCCAGCTGAACTCTTCCAAGTGATTCAGGTTCTTGCTGAAATATAATTTCCACCAGCCACAGGCAGCATGGTCAATATTTGGGATGCTGGGAGCTTCAACAAGCAGGTGGCAGCATCAAGTTGACCTTGATTGATCTTAAAATGTAAACATGACTGCTCCTCATCCTTACTTGGGTGGGAGACTCCTTGGAGATCCAAGGGCTGTTGGCTAAAAAGCCAAAATAAATCCTAGAAAAAAGGCAATGTTGCCATGTGGTCACTAAGCGTTGAAAATGATTTGATGGCACCTGTCAAACCCACCACTCCTTAAACCTCTTAAGTAAAAGCAACCCTTGGCTCCATTTGTTGGGAAGGAGAAATATTATTAGAGGCAGAACTGACAATTGCTCTCCAAAATCCCTAAGTTCAACTTTTCCCTCCCTCAACTACCTCCCCTCGCTGATCACCCTGCCCCCGTGCCCAATCAGATTCAAGCAAGATGTTTTCAGAAGGGTTACTGCAGAGTAGGTTGGTACGCAGTTGCCTTCTTCTTCCAGCCAGGTGACCTTGAAGCAGCATCTCGGGGAGATACAGCCATTACTTTCATTTTCCTCCAAGCATCCCTGCTCCTATCCATCCTTCCCAGAGTTCATGACAGACGGTCACCGCATTGTAGTGAAGCAAGTGTAAAGTGACAGCTGAAAGCACGTACATCCATGCTAACCTCTCCAAAGCATTTCCTCTCTGTAGGAACTCCAGGTAACCAGGAGGGATCCTATTTCCCTTCTAAGCCTTGATGAGTTCAGCCAGATGTTTTTGCAGGCTAACAACTGCCTTGCTTCCTTCCCATTAACCAGACCTTCCTCTCTCTTAAAAAAAAATATTCTCATTTATCCCCTTCAGCCTAGGCTTTTCTCGTGCCTTGGTTCCGTACTTAGCTTGCATCTGCTCAGCTTACTGGAGATTTAAGGTACTGTTTCTTTTATCCATAGGTGGCTGCCCAATGGAGACATTCTTGCTCTCTGGGTCTTCTGCCAACACCGAGTTTAAATGGTAAGACTTCTTCTATTTGAGTGGAGTGGGCAGTCTAGATCTTGACATCGCATTCAGCTCAGCCCATTATTTCCCATGCTGGAGTTGCCAAAAATCAACTTCACATTCCCTACATGGCACATCTTTAATGAAAAGGGTGCTTTAAAAAAAAAAAAAAAAAGCTTGCAAAAGTCTCCTGCAAAAAAAAAAAGAAACATGAAGAATATCCTGGGAACAATATCATTCCATCCACTCTAGAGGGCTGTCCTCAGTGGTGGGATTCAAAATTTTTTTACTACCGTGGCTTGGTGGACGTGGCAGGGGAAGGTTACTGCAAAATCCTCCTTCCCTCCCCACCCCACTAACCTGCTTTCCAGCTCCGTTCTCCTGTGTAGGGCAACCAAAGAAAACCTAGCCGATCAGCTGGGACTTCGGAGGCAGAGAATAGATGGGGGCAGGGCCAGTCAGAGGTGGTGTTTGCCAGTTCTCTGAACTACTCAAAATTTCCAGTACCAGCTCTCCAGAACTGGTCAGAACTTGCGGAATTCCACCTCTGGTTGTCCTGCCATCTCTAGCTCTTAACTGCTCAAAATAAATTCTGACCACCAGACACCAAAATATTGTTGTATTTGTCAGAGAGAGAGAGAGAGAGAGAGAGAGAGAGATTCTTTAATCATGGGCTCCAACACAAGCCGGAAAGTTTGGAAATATAAATCTCCGGTCCCGATGACCGACCTCAATTGGATCCTGCAACATTATCCTGGGACATGTATATTTATTTCCATTTGCAAAGTGGTTTGATTTCTGGACCCATCTAAAGATGTGCTGCAATATTGCTTGGCCTCCTTGGAAGTCAACTCTGACTCTGCATTAAGCGGGGAACCCAGGCTGGTCTCCCTTCCTCTTGGGGTGGGGGTGGGGGCCAAGGGAAGAGCTGCCTTTAGACAATCCCAACCTCCTTTTCCTCTAGTTTTATTTCCCAAGACTGACCTCAGCAACCTCTGACAGAATCCCAGAGAGATGAGGAAGGAGGAAACGGCCACACATTTGTCTCTCTTGGGCATGTATACGTGTTCCGGGAGCTGAGTCCTTCTGGCTTGGACATTAGAGACTCTCTCTGGACTTGCTTCTTCCTCCTTACTTTATTTATTTTTTTATTTATTTTTTGTCAACTATTTACAAGATAATAGGTATAAGTAAAAACATAGTTATGAATACATGAAATGGGTACATATAAGAAAAATAAAAAGAAACAATAGGACAGGGACGGTAGGCACGTTGGTGCGCTTATGCCCCCTACAGACCTCTTAGGAAAGGGGTGAGGTCAATAGGAGACAGTCTAAGGTTAAAGTTTTGGGGGTTTAGGGAAAAAAGCCACAGAGTCAGGTAGAGTATTCCAGACATTGACAACTCTGTGGCTGAAGTCGTATTTCCGGCAATCAAGTTTGGTGCGATTAACCTTGAGTTTGTATCTGTTGTGTGCTCTTGTATTGTTATGGTTGAAGCTGAAGTATTCATTGACAGGTAGGACATTGCAGTGTATGATTTTATATACTATATTTAGATCGGACCGAAGGCGGCGTAGTTCTAGGTTTTCTAGGTCTAGAATTTCGAGTCTGGTGGCTTAAGGTGTTCTGCACCGAGTAGCGGAGTGGAGAACTCTTCTTGTGAAATATTTCTGGACTTTCTCAACTGTGTTAATATCATATACGTAATGTTAGTGGGGCAAGCCAAGCTTCTCCTGTCCATTCCCATCCCCCAGAGCCTGGTGGCTAAGGATGCCTTGTCAGTTTAGTCGCCTGGGCTGTAACAAGCCTTCAGGTGACAAGAGATGTTGTTGTGCGGCAGAGAGGGGCACTCTGCTGTCTGCCTGGCAGCTCTCCACCAACCCCCCCCCTTCCTGTTTTATCTCCTTTTTCCTCCCTCCCTCCCTCCCTCCCTCCTTCCCTGCCTGCCTCCCCTGCCTCTTCCCTCTCCCAGGTCTGTCAGAACGGGCGCTGAAGGTAGGAGCCGACGAGAACAAGATTGGGAGTCCCCAGCCTGAGCTGTCACTCAGCCGTGCCTCCGCGAAGTCACGCCCTGCTTCCACAAAGGATGCTAAGCTTGGGAGCGGGCTGCTGCCTCGCACAGAGCCTGCATCCGCAGCATCCCTTATGGACCTGCCGACTGCAGGGGAGAAATTGGAGCATTACACCCGAGACAGGCCCAGGCCGAACCGAAGGAACAGGCAGCCTCCCAGCAAGTCGAATGTAAGAGCTTTCCTACCAGCGGGAGGTGGGCACAGGGGAGGGTGGCCGGGGGAAAGAGGGCTGTATTTTTATTTACATTTGTGGTGGTGTGTGCTCTCCGAGGGTGAGGCGATGTTCTTTGCAGCAGCCACAGCAGCAACCCCGGGAAAGGGAGAAGGAACCGGAGCAGCGGCTGTTCGGTTATGCGCCTATTCAGCTGGGCCACTGGCCATCTCTGCGCAGAGGACAAGCTAGTTAATATCTGAGGGAGGGAAGGAGGATGGCTGGCGTCTTGGCTGCCTGTGTTTATTTACTAGTGGTGGGGAATCGTGGCGGTGATGCCTGCTCTGCAACTGCAGGCTTGGGAGGGAAGGAAGCAGGAGGAAGGAAAGGATCCCAGCCTATTTACATGCATGTACTGGCTTTCTTTTTTTTTTTTTTTGGCATATGTTTATGAAAATCCTGCTCCCATTTACGGAAGAAGAAGGAGCGTCTCATTTGCTTATGTCTTCCTGGAAAGCTGCTCCTGTGTTATCAGACATTATCTATGCCATTGCATTCTGCATGATGATTGTTCTTATTTAAACAAAAACAAAACGGTGCACTGCTATTTATTTCCCCTTTCTCTGTGATCTGGGGGAAGGTCGGGTTTTTTTTTTTTTCCGTTCGGAACCTTTGGGGCCATTGGCTGGATTTGGTTTCTCAGGTGAAGGAAGATGAGATCAGCATCTGATCTGGATGTCCTTTTGTCAGAAAAGGGACCGTTGATGGAATGAGCCCTTGCTTGTGGCGGGGAAGTAAGTTCTTGGTGCAGGCAAACCGTAGAGCTGAGATGTAGGGAGGAAAATCCAGTGTTTACATAGGATGTGAATGAGTGTATATGGGAGAGAAATAAAACATGTAGTACGTACCCAGGTTGAGGTCTCTAGCAATAAAACTCTCCAGAGCTAATCAGGTAAAACATGATACCCTGGAAAACATTATTATTATTATTATTATTATTATTATTATTATTATTATTATTATTATTATTATTATTATTATTATTTAGACATTGTAGCCTTGAAGAGAAGGCTCCATACTCTTTCTGATCATGCCTCTTAATAAAACCTCAATCCAGTTACAAAGTGACCAGTGCTAGGGGGAAAGTGGGGGGGGGAGAAGGAAAGAGCTTATTAATTATCCAATTAGGGCATAATTATTGATTACCTCTGGAAATCTGCAGAATATGAGTTGAACTTTGGAGCTCAGGCTCTTGAGGATTATCCTGGATTCAAAGGGGCATCCATTAAAAAAAAAATGAATGAAAATGCAAGACACCAAAATACATGGTTTATTTTGTATTTTTCTTCTTCTTCTGTACAATGGATACCTCTCCCCTGCCATCAATATTCCCTCTTAAGATTTATCCCGGAAGCAATGCAGGAGAAGTGGCCAGAAAGGGGTGTATTACAAATCCTAGGCTAATTTTTTTCTACTGCTCCAGTTTTTCCAGCACAGAGTAACACTTTTTTTACTCTATTAAGATGCAAATGTGTTGAAATATTCAACAACCTACCGCGCTCCTGGAATACAAGAAATTAGCATCCAGAACTCCATAAAGCTCTTCAAAAACCCCAAAGGATTCCTTCAAAATATAAGAAATAATGCTGAGGATGAGTGTTATTATTTTTGTGCTAGGATTTTTTTAAAACCTTTTTTATAAATCTGATTTGCATTTTTCAAGTTAGATTTGATGTCAACGGGCCTTTGACTGGGTGGGCATGCAAGTCTGATTAATTACTTAATTAATAACATGATATTTGCAATCCTACCCACACTTATTAGGGTGGGAGTGAGCAACCCTTACCAAATCATCCTACCAAGGATTTATGGAAGAATTTCTGAGGTATTTCTAATATAGTAGGAAGCAAAATAGATACGTTGTCTCCTCAAGATTTAGCATGTTGTTTTGCTTAAAAATTTTACTGCCTCCCCAACATACACTACACCAAATTTAATAACAATTGACCACTAAAAGACAGAGAACTTCAACAGTATCTTTTTAGTTGGTATCCCTATTATTACCAGGTCTCTGGTTTAAAGAAAGGAAAAATCCCTTCTGCCCCCCAAAAAGAGAGAAAGATTTGCATGGGCCTGTATTAGGTTATCTGCTTGATATTGGTTGACCTTAATTATTTCTAAGCAATCATTCAACTGATGCCAGTAAAGTACCTTGGATCTGTCATGTCTAGTCATGTCTCAAAGAGTTTCATCCCAACTGTTGACAAACTCCGGTATAAGCAACTTCTGTTTTTTGGAGAATGGACTTCAGTGGGAAAACACATCCTTGTGTTTGGACTGCATACGTGTGCAAAATACACTTACCATATTATTTTCCACCTGGTTTCAGTTAAGCAAAGAGATGAGCAGCTTGCAGATTTCAGGATCTATTTAGATATTTTTTTTTCTCTAGAACCCCAAGATTCACCAATTAAAATCCCGTGTCCACTAACCAGAACTCAAGATGCGTGCTTTAAAGTATCTCCAGTCTATGTTTGGCATTGGATAGATGTACAGTATATGTAGACAAATGTAGAATACATGCTTGTACTTGGTAAATTATTCTATGCCGTGCGACAGACTCTGAAAGCTTGTGGCCAGCAAAAGTTGCTTTCAGTTCAAGTTCACTGCTCAGCCAATACAGGAATATATGGATGTTGGATTAATCTCCACAAAACATCATTTTTATAGCATTTCCACATGTTCAGATCAATGTTTAATACTATAATCTGAACCTGTTTGGTGTGTCGTTGCTTACAATTTATCTTTTTAACATACTGTATGGAATTTGCAAGTAGCTTCTTAACAATACAATTGTTTAAGGGTAGGTTGCATTCTTGAAGATTAAGCATTTTATACAGAGGAGAGATAACTCATTGTTGAGCGTGTCCTTCTCGTGTAGCAAGTTCTGTTATTTTTAGATGGACATGAATAATTATGGACTCATAATTTGAGTCCATAATTTGAGAACTCATATCAGCACAATTTGGATCTGACTTAAGGGAAGGCAGCTTGTTGGTGGTCCCCCTTAGGGTGACTAAACTCTATTGTGGATGGTTTCTTTGTCAAATTATATTATGCATACTAGATTGATAGTCATCCATTAGCCATAGTAGCCAAAGTAAGTATTGAGAAGTTCCAGATTTCAGTTGAAATGAACTGGTCAATTATATTCCCAAAGGCAACAGTGGTTATCTCTTTTTGGTTGGGCCAGATGATTCATCTTTGCTCATATACTCATGAATATGTAATAAGAGGAGGTGCAAGGATAGTTTCTAGGATTATCAAAGGAGGCAAGAAAATATTTCATGTAGAAGGAGGTCTACAATAAATTGGATTCTGCAGTTCCGTATATGTTCCCTGAATCAACATTAATGAGTCTGATCCTTTAATAGAACTTATTTGTGCAAATTATCTATGCTAAAAGTGGGAATCAGTTGGAGGCTGTTGCAATTTACAAACCTGACTTATTGTAATTTGGCGAGCACTGATAATCTAATCACTTGAAAGGGCTTCTACATCAGAAAACTAGGTGAATAAAGGAAAGGAATGACTGAGTCATGTCTAATAATTAATAGCAGTTGAGGCAGAGGGGAAAATAGTGCACCTCCTTATCCGATTTTATTAAGGGAACTAAGTCCCAGTGCACAAACAACCAGCAATCATAATTTCTTCTGAGAAGTAACATTTCAAGATGCATGATGATTTAAGGCATGGGGACCAAGCTTATTATTAATTTTTCTTTTTGTATCAATTGTATCAAGTGGAGGAAGAATTTATTTATTCACCCGTATTGTAATGAAACAACGGAAGAAATTGTCTCTTATTCATGGTGACCCATTAGAAATGAAATATAAAATTTCCAGCAAAATAAGTATCCTGTAGTAGGTCACTGAACATGATAGGCAGGTGGACATCTCTGCATGCTGAAGTGTCCAAATTTTTGTCCAGATAGGTTCACTTTCTCTCCTTTACCATTGTACCTACATGCATGTAGTTGATGAAACTAAGGGCCTTTTCATGTGGTTTCATTTAGGGTGTGTGTGTGTGTGTGTGTGCGGACGGACAGACAGATAGCAGCAATAGCACTTAGACTTATATACCCCTTAAAGTGCTTTACAGCCCTCTCTAAGTGGTTTACAGAGTCAGCATAATTGCCCCCAAAAATCTGGGTCCTCATTTTACCCACCTCAGGAGGATGGAAGGCTGAGTCAACCTTGAGCCTGGTGGGATTTGAACTGCCAAATTGTAGGCAGTTGGCTGCCGAAGTAGCTTGTAGTACTGCACTGCGCCACAGAGGCTCTGATAGATGATAGATAGATAGATAGATAGATAGATAGATAGATAGATAGATAGATAGATAGATAGATAGATAGATAGATAGATAGAAAGATGAAGAGATTGAGATAGAGAGAGAGAGATGATAGATAGATATATAAAAACAGGTTTACCTAAATATAATTCTAAGCTGCTAACTCAGAAGGTTTGTACTAGTCAGGTATTCATGTCTGAGAGTTGGACTCTTGAACAAATTATCCAGATTTGTTCCTGTGTCCTGAATAAATTAGCCTTAGATCTGAGGGATCCTTGGTGCCTCCTGAGCTTGGTTGTTTTCTTGTAGATGCTTCATTAACCTAAATAGGTAACATCATTAGTGCTAGTCTGATGATATTATACCTAGTTAGGGTAATGAGACATCTGCAAGAAAACATACTAGCTCAGAGAGTGCCAAGGACCCCTCATTTCAACCCTGAGGTACAAATACTCTCCTTTATTGGTAGCCTTAGATCTAAATAGTACCAGCTAACTTACCATAAGCAACTTATAATCATGGGAATCTGACTTATACTGAGGCAGACTTGAATTAATCTCGCCTACCATTTTCTACTACTGGGCTGTTGGGAGGCTCAGTCAAGTCTCTGTTCCTTTTATCTGGTCTTTCTCATTGGAACCAAATCACAGATCTCCGCCTGTAAACAATCATAGTATGAAATCAGTGCAGGCAATGTCAGCTCAAGGTTATATGGTGCTCCAAGTCCACCTTGGCTGATGGCACCAGGCATGAGCCAAGCAAAGAATTGCATTTTTAGAATGATTCAAAAGGAAAGGTGATGTTGTGAAGCCCTTAGGTTCCTCCTGAGACGAATAAGTTCACAAGAAGGAGCGTCTAACCTTCACTATCCTTCTAGTTCACAAGAGCTCCAATTTCACGGAGGCGTCAAACTTGTTGAAACTCTCCAACGTTGCTATACATCTAATAATGCCTTGAAACATATGCAGAATTAAAATTAATGGCCCTAAAATTTCCAGTTAAACATAAGCTCTCGGGGAATATAACAGCCTCCTTCATTTTTTATTTTTATTTTTTGCAGTCAGATGACAAGTCTGTGTAGATACTCCTTTAATTCACAAGGGTGAACAACAGTCTGTGGTGTAATTTCAGGGAGGCTCAAATTGGCATTAAACGTGGGAAAATAGCCAATGCCTCCTGTGTGTGCTGATTTTTTTTTAAATTAGAGACAATCTGGGTTGCCAAAGAAGTTATAAAGCTCAGAACATTCTCTGCAGATATCCATGGAAGGAAACAATGATAGAACATGATCTGAAGTGTGTGTGTGAGAGAGAGAGAGTGTGCGGGGGGGAGAGAGATGAAATGAGAAAGTTCTAGTACTGGTGTTAACATAGAACTAGAACCCTTGTACTATATCCGTGATGGTGAACCTATGGCATGCATGCCACAGGTGGCACGCAGAGCCATTTATGCCAGCACGTGAGCTACAGGCAAACTTACCTCACTGCTCATGCACATGCCTCACAGCTGATTTTTCGGCCGGTTTGAGGCCTTTTTCAGCCTCCCAGAGGCTTAAAAAAAGCTCCTGCAGGCTTTGCAGGCCGAATAATAAGCCCATTTCATCATTTCCTATAATACCGGAAATGAGAAACGGGCCTATTATTCGTTCTGCAAGCCCGCAGAGGATTTTTTCAAGCCTCTGGGAGGCTGAAAAAGGCCGCAAACTGGCCAAAAATCAGCTGTGAGGCGCAGTGCAGATAAGGGGGCAGCGTGGGGAGGATTGCATGCGTATGCGCAGGGGGCATGGGGGAGGCACGCATTGCCTTCTGGGTGCTGGCATGTGAGTACGCAAGCGCAAGCGCGCACACAGTTTTTGGCACAGGAGCCCCAAAAGGTTAGCCACCACTGTACTATATCATCATCTTTTAACGACCCCATAATCCCTTGCGGGGTGGAGTCGAGGCAACTGAATGGAGCTAGCAGAGTGTTTTAATGGCTGGATGCCCTTTCTGTCACCAATGCGGAGTTTTGTTCAGCAGATATATTCTCAGTGCGCCCAGGGAGAGAAATGTCTGCCTCTACCCTTGTACTTTATACATTTATAAATTCATGGTTGTGTCAACACACAAAGAAAACAGACAGCAGAAAAAGATCTAGTGGTCCATCAAGCTCCTCTCTGAGTTTGTTCTTTGTTTTCTTTTTAATACATTTATTATTTTGTAATACAGGCAGTCCTCCACTTATGACCGCAAAGGAGCCCAGAATTTATGTTGCTTAGTGAAACATTGGTCAAGTGAGCTTTGCCCCGTTTTATGACCTTTCTTGCCACAGCTGTTAAGTTAGTAACATGGTGGTTGATTGAACCTGGCTTTGCCGTTGACTTTGCTTGTCTGAGGGTTGCAAAAGGAGATCAGATGAACCTGGGATACTGCAACCCCCTCATGAATATGAACCAGTTGCCTAGTATCTGAATTTTGATCAGGCGTCAACGGTTGTGTGAAAAACGGTCATATGTCACTTTTTTCAGCGCCATTGCAACTTGGAACAGTCACTAAATGAACTGTTGTAAGTCGATGACTACTTGTATTCTATTTTAAAAAATTTTCCAGAATGTTTTTATCTATCTCTTCCTTTCTCCCTTGGTCAGTCCTGCAATTAAATTACATTCTGTTCCCTCTGCCTCCCACAATGCTAGTAACCCCGTTTGTCCAGGAATCGATAGTTTCTTTACGAAATGGGCCCACTATTCCAAGCTGAAAAATACCATTTTTCTGTTTAGAAAGAATATATTCTGCTATCCACCAATAACCTCATTCACTACAGCAGGACCTATGCCGGGCCCTTCTCTTTGGCTGGCAACCGCATACTTCCTACAGCATCTTAATTCATTAACTTGAATCTTAATTTTCTACACTAAATGTGGAGCTCTTGTCTCACAATCAGAAGGCGATGTGTTCGAACCTAGGTAAAAGCAGATATTTCTCTCTCTGGGCACAATGAGAATATATATCTGCTGAACAAAACTCCACATTGGCGACAGGAAAGGCATCCGGCCATTAAACACTTTGCTAGCTCCATTCAGTTACTCACAATCCACCCTGCAAGGGATTATGGGGTCGTTAAAAAATGATGATAATTTTCTATAATGATGTTATAGTATGGTGTAACAGTTTACCTCTACCATTTTAATCACTAAATAAGGCAGTGGTTCTCAACCAGTAGTCCACGGACCCTTAGGGGACAACAATGCCATTACATTGGGTCCATGAAGATTTGAAGAAATGTTATGATTTAAATCTTGAGTTAAGTCTTGGTGGTCCATGGCCACAAAAGGTATTTAAAGGGAGTCCATGGTGAAGAATAGATTGAGAACCATTGAAATAAGGGAATAACTGCATTATTTTCATTATACATATATCTACTTATTGTCAGTTAGCCATAATCATAAGCTGATTATGATGTTTTAGACAAGTGTTTCTCAACCACAGTGACTTTTAAAGACGTGTGGACTTCAACTCCCAGAATTTCCCAGCCAGCAACACTGTTTTTAAATATTTCCATGAACCAAACTTTCACTATCTTTGACCTAGTATCTGCCAAGACTGGTAATAAATCATCATCTCCTCTTCCGGAATATGTATTAAAGATAAGACTCTCTGAATTTCTTATTTACTAAAGGAAATTACAGTACACTAATCAAATAATTTAAAAGTAGGTATATTTATATGCAAAAGAAGTTGCCATTTTGGGATGCCGATCATATGACCTCTACTCCACTACTTAATGGGTTAAACACAACAAGATTTATAGAATTAATTCAGATTTTCCTGGAGGAAACCTTTTGTAATTCTAAGATTTCCGTGAATACCAGGTCTTAATTTAAAGTGTTCATTCTACAACTTAGTGCATCATCTGCGTCTTTGTAATAAATAATATTTGCCTCCTTTGCTTATATGTAAGGTAAGACAGTGCTGTCCTGCTAAAATTTAAAGAGGACAGAATTGCCAAAGTCTGCATTTGCACGTACAGCTAGTCCTCAAGTAGTGGCTACTCATTTAGCCACCATTTGAAGTTGGCATGAAAAAAGCGACTTAAGATTGGTTCACTCACTTATGTTCAACATCCCCATGGTCATGTGATCAAAATTTGAGTATCTGGCAACCAGCATGTATTTATGATAGTTGCAGACCATCTGACCATCTGATTTCTCTCTGCGACCTTCTCAGAGGTCTTTGGTTATGACAAGCAAACTCAGATTCACTTAATGACACCATGTTTTGCTTAACAACCATGGCAAAAAAAAAATCATACAATCGAGCGCAACTAAATTACCTTCTTTCTTAGCAATAAATGGCAAGTTGTGGTTGTAACTCAAGGAATACCTGTATGGGGCAAAATGAGGCCAAGTTTTACGGAGTGACCATATTATGAAGACCTTCTCCTATCTGGACTTAGGCTTTGTCGATGGGGAGACCGGTCTATTTTAATCGTGTAGCACTGTGTCCTTTGTGGTGGTAGTTGGTGACCCAAATGATGCTGAATTATTAGTGAAATCAATGCAGCAAGTTGTCAGAATTAATTTATGTCCTATTGATTTTAATAGGGTTTTAGCGTGGCTTGGATTTGTGCCAGGGAATATAGGCACGCTAAAATCCCACTGAACAGAAATCTTCGGGTTTAGTTCCTGGGGCTGCGTGCTGTTTATATAAACTAATCTATGACGTCCGCTTGACTAGTATATTTTTTAAATTTAGCAGCTTGTTTAATGTTTTTACTTGCATCAACCACAAATAATAATAATAATAATAATAATTTATTGCCATTGTACGAATATACACAGTATACCCATACAACGAAATTCACATAACACCCAGAGACCAGGCCCAACACACACACATAAAAATCCCCAAACATCTCCCCACTCACCAAAATTCCCTGTCCCCTAAAAACACACAAGCATTCACACAACAGACCAAGTAATACTGTCCAACAGCTCACTGATGGTGGTCCCTAAGTTCATTGTTAAGTGCAATTACAGCTCTGGGATAAAAACTGTTCAGAAAACGTGTGATCTGAGTTTTAATTGCTCTGTATCTTCTGCCAGAAGGCAACAGTCCACAAAGATTGTGAGCAGGATGGGAAGAGTCTCTGAGAATGTTGTGTGACTTATGCAAAATGATTGATGCAAGTAAAATGTTATATTTAGTTTAGGAATCAAACAAATGGCATTCATGTTTCATTCAGCACTTGCCTGCTCTTCTTGGTCCGTGCTCAAATGTTCACATCAGGTTTAAAGTTTAGATTGTTTCCTTCTGTTGTCCCTCAGCCATGCTGACCTTCTACTTCCTTTCGGCATTCACAAGGCGTGCAGATTGGTGTGATGGAAAGTGCTGTTCCATGTATCTTCTAGGTTGTTTCCCTAAAATATCCCAAGAGCCCCAAATGGAGGAAAAGTAACTGATTCTTCTTCTAGGTCCAGCCGCCTGTGCGTGAGAATACAGAAGACAGAAGCATTGCCAGGCTGGATGAAGGCTTAGATGAATTCTTCACCAAGACGGTGATTCATGAATATTTACTGTAAGTAAAGACTCTGTGGAGGCATTTCCAACAAGCGATAACCGGGTGGTAGGCATAGATTTTCTGCAGAACAGGGGATGGAAAAAGGTAGTAACTTTGAGGAACAGGAGGAAGAGCTTCAACCGAAACAATATTTAGATCAGGGGTGTCCAACCTTCGCAACTTCAAGACATGTGGACTTCAGCTTCCAGAATTCCCCAGCCAGCCATGATCAGGTAAAAACAAGGGTCATCAGCATTATATGCTGATGATAAATGTTGTTATTGTTGAAGTCCTTTGATGTAGGAGAAGAGATGGTAGAAACTAGGGGTGGAGTGAAAAGGGAGATAGCCTAGAATCCCTATGGAGTCATAAATGAGTGACAATGTCAAGCCTTATGAGGGAACAAGCAGAGCAGTTTGCCTGGCTTCTACTGTATAAGTAGTAAGTGCCTGTGTTTTGGGGCTATGTATGCAAAGCTATTCTCCTTAATACCTATCCCCCCCCCCCCCAGGCCTTGGTGAATGGAGGTGTAGGGCTGGTTTAGAAGATCTTCAAGGTCCTTCCAACCCTAAGATTCTATGTCCTATGTTCTCATCTCTGTCAGAAATAGTTTGATCATATTAGCACCAATCTTGTTCTTCTTCCAAATAATACATGCAAAACTTTATGGACATATTTTTGGCAACGGTGACCTACCTACTTAATCTCTTCATTCATTCTCCCCACCCCTTATAATATTGCAAGTAATTCCGTGCTTCCTTTCCTTCCCGCAGTCCTACTTCCTTGGAAACCTCTCCAACAGCTGCCGCATCACCATCTTCTGGTTCTCGGACCTTGAAAAAGAAAATCGGACACTTCTTTGCCTTCAAGAAGCCAAGGTCAAGTCGAGGGACCAAGTCCGAGAAAGACTCTGAGGGGAGCCCCTCACCAGCAAGAGGCAGGAAGTTGATGCTCAGTGACATTTTAAGGACCCCTAGCAAAGCCAACGACTCGGCCAAAGCGCTAAGCAAATCTGAGGAAGGGGGGCTGGCTGGGGAGAACAGAGGCTACCTGGACCAAAGCCAGACACCAGATAGTGCTCGTAGGGCCAGGCCAAAGTATTCCAGAGAAGGGAAGTCTCAGTCTTTGATACTCTTGTCAGGAGAAGAGACAGAGGGACTTGGTGTGAGGCATGAGAAGGTGAGTCTCTTCTTTGATGTCATTGGTAGCTCTGTGGTTATTTGTTCCTCTTTCCTTCCTCCATGGAACTCAATATTTAGGCAATTATCCCGAGATAATTGTCTACTTTATGGAAGAGCTATAGGGAAATTGTAGGAGAATTGTCTTCCCCACCTGGTGATGTCATAGAACTCATGCCATTTCAAGGAGGCCTCTTACTCAACAAGGCGTGGTGGACAGGGTTGAACCTTCAGAAGATGCCCTGGAATTATCATCTCTGCTTATTACATGAAGTATCCATTTTCTCTGAGAATGGAAAGTAGGACATTGTTGGCAGAGGGAACTTGTCAATGAGAAGTTGGTAGGTTCACCAACCAACCCAACTGGACTTCTCTGGGCCTATGGTTTTCAGCAGTGTTATATGGGAGTCGTTGGGATGTGTCCTTTTGAGGGTGTTGATTTTCTGGTTGTGTGTGAAGGGGACCATTGTGGACATGCAACAATATTTAGGCAATTATCCCGAGATAATTGTCTACTTTATGGAAGAGCTATAGGGAAATTGTTGGAGAATTGTCTTCCCCACCTGGTGATGTCATAGGAAACAGCAAGTATGGTGATAGCAGCTCCCAAGTTTACTGAACAATGCTTACTGTAGAAACAGAAGAATGATATTTCTTGGTGTCTCAAAACAGAGAATGAAAGTGGACGGAATTGAATGTGATCTGGATGGCAGCAATGATGGTTTGTGAAAAGCGGCATCTCTACTTAAAAAGGAGAATATTTGTAGCTCAGGGTTGAAATGAGGGCTCCTTGGTTCTGTCTGGGCTTGGTTGTTTTCTTGCAGATGTTTCCTTACTCAAACTAAGTAACATCATCAATGCTAGTCACTAGCACTAACCCTGATGTTACCTTGTTTAGGTAATGAAACGTCTGCAAGAAAAAAAACCCAGTTCAGAGAGCACCAAGGACCTCTCTTTTGGCTTATTTGTGTTCATAGCAGAATCCCAGAGGGTTGATTTCAGAAAAGATCTCCCCTGGAAATGGGAAAAAAAAATCTGTGTGGCAGTTGTGTTAGTGGGTGTGAAATAACTATGGCTTCTGATGTGTGAATCAAAGTAATATTTATTAGATAGATAGATAGATAGATAGATAGATAGATAGATAGATAGATAGATAGATAGATAGATAGATAAATAGAAAGATGATAGATATAATTATTTATTGGCCGTGTGATTGGATACAAGGAATTTGTCTTTGATGCATATGCTCTCAGTGTACATAAGAAAAAAATAAAAATAAAAATACATTCATCAAGAATTGTAAGATACAACACTTAGTTATAGTCATAGGTTACTAATAAGGTGTGTTAACTTTCAATGCTTTGCCCTACAGAAGCGATCCTTTGAGAAGAGCGATGGTGAGCTGCCCAGTTCCTTTGAACAACGTGTCCATGTCATGTTGCATCGGATTGGGGTCACCAAGGTGTTGTCTTCTGAAGGCAAAAAGAAACAGGTAAGGAAGAGAATGTTGCACATTTTCCTGAGCAAGATTAGAACTCACAGCCTCCCAGTTTGTAGCCTGGTGCCTTAACCGCTGCATCAACCTGGCTCTCTGTACTCTACTGTACCCTTTTCCAGGAAGTAAAACCCACCAACCAAACTAGGCCTAAACATGCAGGGATGGCGCAGTACCAATTCTGAAAGATCTCCATTTGCCAGTCAGTGTTACCTTTCAGGTGAAATGTTTTCCTATGGGTTGTTGTGGAAGAAAATGTTCCAGAATAACCTTCTATTGTAGCCTCTTGCTTGACTGATATTCCACCTTCCTGAGCAGAGAGCCTGAGGAGTTTGCTCATGGATATTAGTTGACAGAATTATTCCAGATCAGCCTATCCTACCCAGTGCCCTCCGTCGTGCTGTGCTGGAAATTTGTAGAACTCTGAGCTATGTTAGAAGATGCCAAGATTAAGAAAATAGTTCTTTTGGCAAAAAAAGGTGAGGGGTGCAGATCTGTCTGATTCCAGGAAACATTTGGAATCCATCACTAAATGAGCATTGAATGTAATAATATAAAAGAACAATACATCTAATAGAATAGAAATAGAAATAAGAGTAAAGTAGGAATAGAATGGAATGGAATGGAATAGGATAGGATAGGATAGGATAGGATAGGATAGGATAGGATAGGATAGGATAGGATAGGATAGGATAGGACAGAACAGAACAGAACAGAACAGAACAGAACAGAATAATAGAGTAGAATAGAGGAGAGGAGAATAGAGGAGAGGAGAGGAGAGGAGAGGAGAGAAGAGAAGAGAAGAGAAGAGAAGAGAAGAGAAGAGAAGAGAAG